CTACCCTCTGTATTTTTTCAAAGATAACTTCGTTTAATATGCCGATGATCTTGCCATTTCTGTCCCAGTAGCTTTTGCTTTGGATTGTTCTTATATGATGAATAGATTCTTGTCTGAAGTTAACAAATGGTTTCACCTAAATGGTCTTAAACTGGATCCATCTAAATACCACAGTAATAGAGAAGATTTGTTGCTCAAGTGGGTGATTTGCAATTAGTAGTGTTCTCTGAGCTGGTCGGTTCAACTGTGGGACTTTCGTCATCTCCTGCTGGACAACAACCCCCTTCAGAGCTAGTTTTAGCCTAAAGTGAACTGATTTTAATTCTCCATGTATGATAGAATTATGTCTCCTGGCAGCAACTATCTTCGTGACTGGTAGTCAATTTACATCTGCACTGATCATTTTTTATTGACTTGGATTTTCAAATTTCTCATCATGTGATGATTTACTTTGGTAGATATGGTCTAAATTAACATGTTTGTTTCACGCATATTCGTTTGAGTACCAGGCTTCTAGGAATCCCCTGCTACTATTGGTGTTTCCTCTGTCTAAAATTTCAACATTTTCCCAATTAAACTGGTGTCCATAATTATCCACATGTATTGATATGAAACAGGAATAGATATCATGTATTTTTGGAGTCAATTTGTGTTCTTGGATTTTGATTCAAAGAACACACCGACTTTGATTGATGTAATATCTGTGACTGTTCATACAGTTTGTTTTGTAAATGGTATTAATTTTACCTCCTTTTTCTGTTGGATCTTTCGGTTTGCACAATATCTGATGAAGTGACTGTGTTGGCTGGCTAGCATGTGTGCTATATCTATTTCAAACGGTTTCAGTGCTCTAGCTGTTAGTTATTTCAGAGATATTTTTTATCTACATGGTGAGAGGAATTTCCGTGTGGTCTTTGATGATGGTTTTTTGTTAGTGTTATGACTCGAGTTTAAAGACGTTTTGATGAAATTATTAGGGGGATATCCATTCTTTTTGAAGGCCGTTAGTAGGTGTTTTTCTTCCATTTTTTTCAACTCTGGAGTGCTACAGTGTGTTTGGATTCTTTTAAACAATGTCTGCACACAATTTCTTTTGTGAGTAATTGGATTTTTGCTAGTATAGTTGAGTATTTGATCGGTTTGCGTTGATTTTCTACATACGTGTGTTTCTAAATTTCCTGTGTTAGTTCTCCTGAATAAGACATCTTAAAATGGGGTTTTGTTGTCTAATTCCTTTTCTCTTGTAAATTGGATGTCTCCAAATATGTTATTTACTAATTTATGAGTATATTGCAGTGTTGATTTTAGTTTCAAGTGCGAACAAGACTTACGTGGACTTATTCAATCTCATGATTACTTTAATATTGACGGCACTGTGATGAGACGGAGTAAATCGAATATCTCTCATCTCGGGATCAGTTTCTCTTCGGATCTTTGTTGGTCATCTGATATGCTATTGATTTGTAAGAAACTTTTTCGCTTGATTTATTACACTAAAGAAGCTGAGACGTGCTGGAATAACTCTTCCCTCTTCCCTCACAATTCGTTAATTCATGTATTCTGCCCATACTTCTTTGTGGTTCCCTCTTGTTCTTCTTTGGACATCTCAAAAAGGACTGTATCATATTACTTAGGGCACTAAAGGCTGTAAATGGGGTCAGTGGTGTGTGTGTGTGTGCCTTTGACTCAGCAAACTGACATTACTGTCAATAGGCATTTCAATTCCTGCAAGCATTTGGTTAAAGTTATCTTGTCTGATACTGAACATCCTCCTTATTCTCAACTTTCTCCTTGTATCTACTCGGGGTGGGAAGAGGGGGGGCGGTGAAAGCAGGAGAAACTTCATAAGAAGTATTTATGCTCGTATAGCTACTAAATATAAAAATTCTACCATACCATCATATTTAGCACGAGTGTTGGTTGTGTGAAGAGAGAGAGTCAGATGTCAGGAAAGAACTTATAAGCCTTTTAAATCAGTAGTCTGAACTGCAAAGTATAAGCAGAGATTATTATTACATGTATGCTCTGTGATACTGTCTACTTATACTTCATTATGTTTCCAACAAAATTCTGTTTATAGTGGTTGCATTATTCGAGTGTTGGTTTGTAGAGATTTGATTGGTTACAGGATTTCATCATGAGTCGTGACCAGTAGGATGCAGCAGGTCGGGTGTGAGGACAAATACTCGCCACGGAAGACAATGGCTAGTGCCAGTCGCGCTATGTCGTGAATCGGCAGAAGTTAGAATTCATGGACTGGCTATTGGATCGGGTCTCAGTGGCTTAATGGTATACGAGCTCGCCTTGTCAGCAGAAGGTCCTGGGTTCGAATCCCGGTGGGTGCGTACCGATGAAGAGTCCCAAACTAGGACGAAAGAGCTTGCATTGTTATTACTATTTTAAATTTTATGTATGTACATATTTATAAAGGCAACTAAATAGTTGCAATACGTATTAAAACGTTGAAAATTCCATTCTGTATGATCATTATTATTGTTTGGAATGAAGTGATTATTATTACTATTATTAGAATGTAAACTAAATCGTTAAATCGCTGAGTGATACTGGGTTGTTGCATGCCTCTAACTGGACTAGAATGCACCCCCAGACACGGAACTATGACCACCCACCTCATCACTTGACAAAAATATTGCCTACACACTGAGTTGAAAACAAAAGTCCCATTCAACTAAGATGATAACGACAAAATATTTTATCAGACAAAATACATGGTCTATCATATTTACAAACTCTTAAGAATTTAAGCAATAAATAAACCAATAAGAAAACTGTCCAGTGGGGTCATCATGTTATTACATGCCTGAATCATGGCTTCAAGGCTAACAAAAAAGCTTGGCTATCCTAACGCACTCATTCTTGTTTTTATTCAGATTTTTCGACAAATCTTTTCATGGGCTGGAGGATTTCATTATGAGCTGATATCAGTTAGAGAGTCTTTGGAAAACCTGCAGGGAGTACAGGGACTATAACTGTTTCATCAGTCTAGTTTGCGACTCTTCATCAGCACGCACCCGCCCACCAAAACTAGGACGAAACAGCTGCCTGTCCAGTACTCCGATGCTGGTTTTCCAGTAGTTCTCTAACTGATGTCAGTCAGCTCATGCTGAAATCCTCCAACAATGTGTAGATGCTTTATGTTCTGCACTAACTAACATAATAAATGCTTCTTTCTCCAAAAACGTCGTACTTGTTGCATGGAAAGACATTAAAATAGTCCCTGTCCCTAAACCTGGAAACGGCAAGAACGTAAAGTTCAGACTCATTACCATCACTTCCCCGTTTCTAAAGCTTATGGAAAAACTAGTATTTCTTAAACTTGAACCCTCCCTTGAAAGCTTTGAAGACCCCAAACAATTTGCCTATAGACAGGGTAGGATCACTTTAGACGCTGCAGCCGTCTTACACAACAGAATCGTCTCATCATTAGATAAAGGTGCGAAATACGTCCGCTGCACGTTTCTCGACTTCACTTCTGCTTTGGACTCTGTACCTAGATGTCTCTTGCTAAATAAGCTCTCTATGACACAAACTGAGTCCTGGGTCGCTAACTGGTTGCATTCCTACTTCCCTAACATAAAGCAGTACACTGTATACAGAGGCGAATCCTCCTCTGCTGCGCTCACTGAAGCTGGTGTCCCCCAAGAGGCTGTACTCTACACACTTCTCTTTTCTTTCTTTCCACACGACTTACCATCTTCAAATGACATTAATTTTGTCAAATATGCTGACGACCTGACTGTATCTTTGCCTGTCAAATGTCAAAGTGACTGCTCTTAACTTAATGGCATTCTGTCAGAAATCAGCCAGTGGTCCAAGGAAAACGGTCTTACCTTAAACCCCTCCAAATGCCGAACAGTCAATTTCACCTTTAGGCGTAAATCCGACCTAAACAAACTGGTTGACTCTCACGATGTGTGCAACATTGATGGCACTGAAATAGAAACCAGGTCGGAAATTAAATACCTAGGCGTCATTCTATCTGTTGATCTTTCCTGGTCGTCTCATATCTTAGCAATTTCTAAGAAAATATTCCGTCTTACCTTCTACATCAAGAAGTTAAGACATTCTGGTATAACCCAACCCTCACTCCTACAATTCGTTAATTCTCGCATTTTGCCTATTATTCTCTATTGTTCCCCCTTAGTTTTTCCCGGGCTACTGAAGAAAGACTGTAACATATTACGCAGGATGTTAAAGGTTGTCAGCAGGGTAAGCAACGTGCCACTTAACCAGCTTGTTAATATTGTGGTTGACAGGCATATGGGCTCATGTGAAAAATGGGCCACATCCATTTTATCTAACTCACAACACCCTCTTCACTCACAACTCTCCCCTTGCATCTCATTAGGCAAAATCAGAAGCCTATGTAGAAAACTATATGCTCGCACCAGCAAGTACAAAAACTCAACCATACCCTACTTAGCTCGTGTTCTGTGTGATAAAGAAAGCATTAGGCGTGACACCTATAATTCATCAGATAGTCAGTAGTACAACTGGATCTCATCTTTCCAACTAATATCATTTATAGGTACAACATTTTCATTCTTTCTTTTCCTTTTATCTCTCTCTCTCTCTTTGATTTTCCGTTATGTGTTGTTTGTTTCTTTCTTCCGCTTACGCCAGTAAATATGCTAGCATCTACTTTTCTAACACCTTCAAACACTCTGTTCAACTTTGGCTTTGCTACCGACATGCCAGTATGTTGTTGTCATAATGAACTGAGACTACCCATAATCTATGTAGAATTTTATTTGTTGATAATGTACTAACTGGATGCAATGCTGTTGTAAAAATGCTGAGAATTCCATTCTGTATCACAAGTACTGTTTTTGGAATAAAGCAAATTATTATTATTATTATTCAAATCAATCAATCAATCAAAATCCCTAAAAATCAATACCTGAAAATTATTTTCAAACTTCAAATGATGCTACTATATTACTATTTTGACTCTATTGATTTGTTTCTTTATATTTCAGTGTGCACTTGTCGTCTGTGTCGTTCTTATTCTCCGAGAGTTATGGGTACATCTTTAAACCTATATGCATATATAAATACCAACCCTATTTGAATAATAATAATAATTACAAAATTCACTGGATTTTTTTAAGATGCTAAAATCTAATTATTTATCAAATTATAATTTACTAAGTAAATAAAAGTTTTTTAGAAAATATGTATCATTTTTGTGTTGAATCATTTTTCAAAGTGTCGGAAAATGTAGGTGATAGGTGTCAGAGTGTAAGTGTGTGTGTGTGTGTGTGTGTGTGTGTGTGGAGGGGACGTGGCTTTTCATCAACTCTTTTGTATTGGATTAGATTTCATCCCTGGACGACATCAATTAGGCAATAACTGAATGCCAAAGCGTGTTACTTGATAGCGGTTTCCTCATAATTTAAGTTTCCGAATATCACTTTCCAGCTCATTAGTGGTAATAGGCTGGATGTCATGAAGTCCTAATCAGAGTAAGGAAGCGCATTGGTGGCATTAATTAGCGTTAGGGCTAAATCACGTGAACTGATAGGAGTTTGGATGCACAGGTCGGAGTCAGTTAGCAGCTGAATGGTGAGGAGGATGACCTCGTAATTTGAAGACCCTAAGTTTAATCCTTGGTGGGATCATGCACGCTTATTGACGAAGGGATTCAAGTGATTTCCATTGTGGGTAAAATTTGTCTTGATAAAGTTTCACAGTGGTGTTATACAGTAATATTTATTGATGACAAATTATCGAGCACAACTTATTGCTCACAATCGTATCAAGGCAGTACTCACACAGCTTTCTAACTTCGCTTATATAGTTCCATCATTATTTTCCATCGCTTGATTTGATGATCGGTAGTAGAATTTTCCATATTTCCGGTATGAGTGATGAATCATTCCCATTGCACGTGTTGTGTAGACTCGGGTGTAGACTCGATGAATCAGGATTCAGTGATAAACCACCTTTCTCTCTCTCCGCCTACCTAGATTAATTAGAATTCTAACCCTCTTCCACACACACCCTATTGTGTGGTTGTGTGTTAATCAATGCAGTGCAATGAAGTGCTGAGTTTTTTTCTAAATTACTTATCTTCTCATGGTCAACCATTCTTACCTTAGTTAAATTCTTATGTCCTGACAATCTGACATCAAAATCTTAGACAGAGGAAACACTAAAAGTGCAGTCAGGGAATTCCTATAAGCCTGGTACTCAAACGAAAATGCAATTAACAAACACGTTAATATAGAGGAGGATATATGCCAACTAATAAAAAGTAAATCATCACGTGACCAGAAAGTTTAAAATCCAAGTCAATAGAAAATGGTCAATACATATGTAAAGATGGTTACTGGGAGACGCAATTCTATCACTCATGAAGAAATTTAAATCATTTCACTTTATGCTAAATATTGCGCTGAAGGGAGGTGTTGTCCAGCAGGGGGATGACGAAAGCTCCGCAACTAAACCAACCAACCAGCTCAGAGAACACTATTAATTGCAAATAGTCTACTAGTTTCGTAATTTCATCCACACCTCTATTATTTCACATTAAATTGTATTCCATCCATTGGAGCACATACTAAGGATTCGTTTGAGTATTCGAAAACCAGTCATACTAAATTACTTCATTCAGTTTATGTAACCTTGATACATTTAAACAAATCAAGAAAAAACAAATTGGGTAAGATCATAACGACATCTTCCACTCACTCAGGCTGGACAAGCTCTGTAGGCTAAAGGGACTATATTGACCCAGTTAAACAAAATAATCTAATTTACAAAAAACCTTGCAATGAATCTGAGTGAGGTCAACTACATAGGTCAAACTGGTAGATAAGGAGTTATCACACTGTCAGAACATAGTAATTTAGCTAAGGTTAGAATGATTGAAGTCACCCATGAAGATAATCGATTTAGAAAAAAGCCCAGCAATCGCACTGCATGCATTAACACGAAACCACACACAATGGTCTATGTGGGACAGAGTCCAAATTCTTAAAAGTAGCATAGATCGGTAGGTGGAGAGAGACACGGGTTGATTACTGAATCCGGGTTCACCGAGCCTACACCCAACACATGAGCAACGGAAATGACTCAACGCAAATACCAGAGACATGGAAGATATTATTACCACCAGTCAAATCAGAGGGTGTTAAATAATCTTAAAAAGTATTCAATTCAATTCACATTATAACATTCTAACAAGTTACTTATTCATTTTACTATGAAAACATCCTATTTCTTGTCTGACTGTATTTGATTGATAACACTAATATTATTATTATTTTCGAATGTACTTTCTCATCTTATATTGACTTTTATTCAAATGTCGAATCATCAATTTTTACTCATGTATATGCATGAAGCAAGGAAGTTGTGTGAGTGAGTGAGTAATGCCTTGATATGATGATTATGAGCGGCAATTAATTATGCTCAAAAGGTGGTCATCAGTAAATATTACTGTATAACAAACACTGTGTGGTTTTATCGGAATAAAATAGTTAAGCTATGATGGAGTTAAAACAGCGTCATTATATATATTTCATTGGTTGCTGTCAGCTGCACACGTACCCACGAACAATTTGTATATAATCAATAAGAAATAATAAAATATTCAAATATTTTAGTGATATTGATCATAAATGTGAAGGATATTAGTCTTAGGTGATTCAAATAGCATAATGGAATGCAATAAAAGTCATTGTAAAGATTGTTAGAAAATATTGTTAATGAATACGGAATATTCTAGATTTGCATATGTATGTTGCTAATTCAACAGACGTGTCAAACCAACACTGTATGTTACTTGAAGGTCAAGTGATTCACTTGAACAGAGGTTGAAAACGGCCCAGTCAAGAATGCAAAATTAAGCGCAGAAAATTGTATTGTCAAAACAAAATGTAATTAGAATAACATAAAGTATTTTACCCCTGGAATTGCATCAACGGCACAGTGGTAGAATGCTTGCCAGCCACTCATGTGGTCCGAGATTCAATCACCGGCCACCAACTCACTCCTTTACCTCGCTAAGCCAGTAATAAGCCTGGCAAATGAGGGAAGGTTGGGCGTGAAACTAGCGATCCCACCCCATAGAAACAAAACACTATTGCTAGCTCTTAAGTTGATCGTAATACTTATATTCCGGATACGTTCAACTTATAGTGTTTACCCTGTTACTTTTCAAACATTGAAGCATGAAATGTCATTCTTGTGAAACCAATGTAATTCCAGGAAGTTTGCAGCAGCTGACGACAGCCTGTGAAATAGAATGATATCGTTTTGAATAAGACGTTTAGAAGACAAATTTCTCGAGAAGATATCATTTCGTAGTTTCTGTACAACCACTTCACAACTAACATGGTTAACAATAATAAAATAAAATAAAGGTCATGACAATTACTCAGTTAAATAAAAAACAAAAGTACATACTAATGACCAATCATATTTAAACAGGTCAAGTAGTGCATGGTAGGCGAAGGTTGAAGTCTATTGTTGTTTTTGTACACACAGTTTAGGCTGTATGTGATTAATCCAAAGTGCTTCCATCACCTTCAATAATCAACCTTGAATTAGAGTTATGTGAAATAATTGTGAAACAGTCATTAATATTGATTTTGTGACCTAACACTTATACGTGTTTTGCAGTGGATGATGCTGGATTTCTATTCGGATTACTCGCATTGGGATTTTCTATATGTTTCAATAACCATTTTGGAACATGTTCTTTTCGACGATATTGGAAAATGCTATCGGTTCTACCTATATGGGTGTCACTGCAGCTGCAGATGAACTTGTAGATACAGTTTGAAGTAGAGTCCACAGAATTTCATTCTTTAATCGTAGGTACAGGGATCGAAAATGGATTGATCACATACAGCCTAAACTGTGTGTACAAAAAACAATAGACTTCAACCTTCGCCTTCCATGGACTACTCGACCTATTTAAATATATGATTGGTCATTAGTATGCACTTTTGTTTTTTATATAAGTGAGTCATGAACTTTATTTTATTTTATTACTGTTAACCATGTTAAGTGTAAAGCGATTGTACAGAAACTACGAAATGACGATATCATCTCGCGAAATTTGTCTTCTAAATGCCTTATTCAAATTTATCAAAGGGACTAAGTGTTTTAATAATGATATCATTTTATTCTGTAAATCTGGTCTTTCTTTCTCTATCGAAATTCCGTAACACCTGTGGTGAGAGCTGCCTACTAGCCAAATTGGTAGACAGTAATTTACGTCAATATTTACGTTCCCAAGATTTGTCGTGAGAAAATGTGAACAAAGATTGATTCAAAACCGACCACAGCATACTTTGCGTAGGCGGATGCAGTTAACATATAGAGGATTTGACATTCAAGAAAGAGTCACAAATAGATGAAAGATTAACTTTACGTGAGAAACAACCAATCGGAAGACTGTGTTTGTTTACTTAAATGTCCATAGTAATGTACATGAAAACATATATAAATATGCGTTGATTTCCTTAATAAATGATCTGTTGCCTAACCCTTGCCTTTTGTTGTTACACACCTAATGAATTTCAATGGACAATTGTTATCTGACAATATTTCAGTGAGGTGTTGTGTTCCTTCCTTAATGGTGTGAGCTGAACATATACGGTGAATTTATCTGAACAAACACTTAACCACCGACTTTTTATGCTGCAGCGGACAGAAATTATGATAATTTAGATACTCCCCCCCCCATCCATGTGCAGTTTGAAAGTAATCACATAATTTGTGAGGAATCGGATCTCTCAGGTGAGTGGTACAGTGTGAACCACTAATGCGTCTGGTGTCAAATAAGAGTAGAGGTCAATCGATATTTTTTTATTGCTTCACATTCCCAGTGGAACATAAGGCTTCAAGCTGAAGGCTTTAAGTTTCTGTAGCAGTGGTGATTATTTTTACAGTATGGGTTTGCTAGCCTCATGCCCAACCTTTCCTCTTTACCAGCTTTTGTTTTTATTACTGGCTTAGCAAGACAAAGGAGTGCGTCGGCAGGAGACCGAACCCCGGACCATGTGCATGGTCGACGAGTGACCTAACTGCTGTGCAACTGACGCCCTTCATTCGATATTTAAGTTAACTGAATCTACCGAGTAAGCCAGGTATTTGACATGAATGATTTCAGCTACTTATAACAATTAATCAGTAGTATATTTTATGTTGTTTCAAAAAATGGTTAGAAGAATGAAGGATTAAGGCTATAAATGCAAATTTTTTTCAGAATACCAAAATATTCCATTATTATTCGCAATGACCTGCTGAATAACTTACTACTGAGTCACGTTATTTAATTCATGTAAAATTCCCATTCAAACATTAACAGAGAGAGGACCAGTAGTTCAGCGAAGAGTCTCTTTTCGGCCGCGAATTCATTTTCATAGCTGTACAATCGCAAATATATGCATGGTTGCTTTGTATGTGTGCGTGTGTACATTAAATTTATCAAACGAAAATAAAATTAGTAAGGTCAGATGAATTGGATGTTGATATAAGAGGGTAGTAACAAAAGTGATGAGTGGTCACAAAGTATTGTTAAAGAAGAGTTACGTAATAACAACATGAATATTTTGATGAAAGAGTTATGCTCAGGGTGCACATAGAAACAAAATTAACTACGGAATTACGCAAGGGTTTTAACTAGTTAGAAAAATAAGCATACAAACAAAAGTTAAGTCAAACCAACAGAGTTGTTACCGTGATAGTAGAAGTGGCTGAATAATTTCCTTTTGTATGCATAGCTGTGGTTCTTCCAACTGAATAGCTAGGGCTTCTGCAGTGCAAAGAAGATGGAAACGTATGGTCTTTGGCAGGTTGTTCTTCACTTTGTAGATTACTTCAGTGTACACACAAATACAAAACAACCATATGTATTTGCGATTGTACAGGTATGAAAATGAATTCGCCACCGAAAAGAGATTCTTCGCTGAACTACTGGTCTTCTGTCTATAAACTTTATTTACTCCTATGTTACTTGGTTAGCGGTGGTTAGCACTTACATTTAGATTGCTCATTTCATCCTACTTGGGACTAGTCGGCTGGATGAGGTAGTTGCCATTCCCCATATAATGACTGTGTCTCTACAGAGACTCACTACCCGAATATATCGTTTCAAATGCCTAAGCAACGCTACAGGGTCTCTATAGGGAGTTGACAAATCAAGAGTTAACATATGATTGGAGGCAGTCGGCAGGAAGCCCTACTTGACCTAGGTTTCGTGCAAGTTGGAACTCAACAGTTAGAAAAGTGCATCTGAAAGCTTGAAAAGTAGCATGTCCCTTCTGAGATTGGAGCCTATGTCACCTAATGCTACATTCAGAGACGTTATCACTGAGTTGGCTATTCAGGCTCGCGATTGACCTCCTGTAGGACAGTGTGTTGGATATCTTGATTGGACGCTAGTCAGTAAATAGTGTGACGTGTTTAGTCCTCTGTTTGGTTCAGACTGAATTCTATCAGTCAAGTTTGCAATATGGCCATCATTCTTGGTAGATCGCCATCATGATGCACATTGATTTGACGATATATTAGATGGCTGGAGGCAATCAACAGGTACAGAGCGATTGGCTGGAGTATGAAACAATCAATGAGGATTTCAAAATGACTTCAACACAAAGTGTTGTCTATTCCTCTTCAGTCAAATCCGCTCTTTAAGAACAAGAATTACGTTGCTTCCGACTTGCATCATATGACGTGAAAACCCATGCCAGTCTCTAAGATGAACACCTCCCCCTCCTTAATTTACAAAGCTGAAGAAACATTATTTCTGAAAATTACTTTTATTCTTTTAGAGAAAAGCAGAAGTTCTGAAAACAGTATCTTTTTTATTGTGCGATTTCATTCTCAATATGCGTACAATCAGCAATCAGCACAATCAGCAAAATTATATCTTTATTCAACAAGTTGGAAATAGTTAAAATTATTATTATCATTATTATTTAACTAATAATGATAAGTAGATAAGTGCAGAGACATAGGTTGATCTGGCTTCGTTTCGCCAATATGCTTCCAGTTTCCACGTGAATATGTTGACGGCATATACACATTGTGAAGCTGGAGATTAATTATTGATTGTTTCTAGACTCACACACATACAAAATAAGCTGAGATGTAGCATGAAATTAAACAACAGACACACACACGCACACACAAGTAGTGTACTCTTCACTCTATCAGTTATAATCGGTGTTACACGGCTATATTACAGTCCATAACTCCTTGAGTACGAGTACACAGCAGGCGATCATGGAAATCTGAAAGTGCAGAAGTAGACGAAATCGAGGACTTTGATGATTATCAATACATATATGGATAAACACACATATAAGCGAACATTATTGTGGTTTTCAATAAGATCTTCTTCAGGCTTTACTCTAATTTATATAGATTTATATATAAAAATCGAATTAAACCAATGACTGTGATTTTGTGGACCAAATAATGATAATAATGTGGTAAATGTTTTGAACTTAGTTAATAACGATGATTATAATGATAACAAAATATTGATAATAAGGGTTATGCAGGTGGCGACAAGAAAAACAAAGGTAGTATATATGTGTATATGGAGACAATTCAATAAATAAATGTTCTGCCGCCTCAATTTTAAATCGAATGAATGAAGTTCAGAATGGCATATCACTTACATCCGTAGAAGAGGAAGATAATTGTTTATCTTTCCTAGACATATTGCTTAGTTGATGACTTGATGGGTCAATGAAAAGATCTATTTATAGAAAATCTACTTGGACAGGGGAGTATGTTAATTACCACAGTTCCTGCCCTGTTCGGTACAAAAGAGCCTTAATAAGGTGCCTCTTCAGTATAATCCAACGAATATGCACTGAAGACACACTTGATGCGGAAGAAGGAATGTTGACACAAACTCTGGTTGATAACAATTATCCAGACAAGTTCATCAGGAGATATAAAGTAGTCAGAACACCAAGACCCACTCTCCAGCTCGCCCCTAAGAAAGACGTGTACATCAAGCTACCCTACAAGGGGTATCATAGCAGCTTGATAACTAGACAAAGACTGAACGCTGCTGTTAACAAGACTTTCTATGCAGCTAATATAATTATAATTGAGAATGTAAAGCCAATATATCCATCTAAGCCCTTCGAACATGCGAAAAGTGACGTGACATCCCACTGTATTTACCAATTTGAATGTACGTGTGGACACACATACATAGGGAGGACTCATTGATCTCTGCAAGTAAGGGCTGCCTTCAGAGCATATTCCTAAATGGCTCCAGAAACAAATGGAATCTTCAGAACCTATTAACGGTGAGAACAGGAGACCTAGCTCTTCTATTGCGAAACATATTATAGAGACAGGACATAAAATTGACGTTAACAGATCTTTTAAACCTGATAACAAGGTTTATGCAGGTGGCGATAAGAATAACAAAGGTAGTATATGTATATATGTGTTTGGTAGTAAATCATAGTGTTAAAGACGTTTTTGAATTCATCGCTAACGTGGATGATATCAATGTAAATGGGAAGCAAATGCTGCTATCCTTAGATGTAGCATCACTGTTTACCAATGTACCACTTATGGAGACTGTGGAATTCAAATGCCAACAGATACTAGAAAAACAGTTCAACATCGGAATTCTAGTTATTAGTCTGAAAGAATTGCTTTTAAGATGTACTATGAATGTACACTTCGCATTCAACAACCTTTATTACAGGCAAATCGACCGCATTGTGATGTGTTCTCCATTGGGGCCAATTTCGGCAGATTTCTTTCTTGCCAAGATTGAAAATGGTCCATTGAAACAAGTAATGGGTAAAACTGATTCTTATTTTCGCTATGTTGATGATACGTTTATTATTCTTGATTTGAAAGTTGATAAGAATGAAATGTTAAAAAAGTTTAATGATGCGCATCCATCGCTCATCTTCACTTGTAAAAAGAACATGATGGTAGACTACATTTCCTTGACGTCCAAATGAGCAGAAGAGAGGATGGTTCACTCAAGAAAGATGTCTATAGAAAACCTACATCTGCAGGACAGTATACACATTTCCTCAGTTTTGTACCAATCCGATACACAGTCAGTTTGGTCAGATGCCTCACGAATAGAGCAAGACGTATCTGTACAGATGACTCCCTAGAAAATGATCTAGGATACATCCAAAATACGTTGGTCCAAATGGGTTATCCTAGTAGATTTGTAAGGATACACATGAACACCGGGTATAATAAAGAGAAACTGACAACGGTTAAAAAGAAACAACTGTTCATGAAACTGCAAGTTAATGTGGACGTGGCTAGCCAAGTCTTACATCTGAGATTATCGAGAGCAATAAAACGGACTTTTACTGCCGCCACCCTTTATTTGTCATTTTCCAGCCCACCAATTATGATTGCTCAAGTGGAAGACAAGCTACCTAGCTCTGCCACTTCTATGTGTATCTACAAATTTAATTACTCCTGTGGAGAGAGAGAAATATAGCGCGAACAACTAGACAGCTTAACAAATGCACTAATGAGCATCTTCCTTCATGGTTCGGAAAAGATCAAATAAAATCTATGCGAAGTTCTATTTTGGCTCATTTCATTGGTGCCGCTCGCCAAGTGGACAGAAATAGTGCCTTCAAAGTTATCTATCGCAATCCATCGAAGCTTTCGAACGCAATTTGATCCCGTATTTTAGACATAGCTGAAGATATCGGAATCAATTCGAGAGAACAATCCTAGTCTTTGCATACAAAAGAAGTTTGTTCTACCTCTGTCTCTCCTTTGGCCTATGTGAATTCTTATCAAAACCCTCCCACCCTTTCTTATTTTCCATCTCCTTCGTACTTTTATGATATTTACCTGTTTGAACTCTGATTATCTGTCCACTTCACCTTTTAAGATTTGACCTAATTTATTTAGATAAAGCAATAAGAAGACGTAATTTGTCTGAATCGTGTGTAATGTGTGTTTGCGCAAAACTTTCCGAACAATCTGATCACACACAGACTTGTCATAGGAATGCAATTTATAAAGAGTAAAGAGGTGAGAAAATAGACTTAGGTCAAGTTAAAAGGATATATTCAAGGTCAACGTAAAAATGAAGATCACTAAACCAAATAACAGAGGTAATAGTACGTCTGCTATGGTATCAAAACAAAATTTACCAAAAAAGGTTTAATGTGATGACGAATTGTTTTTGAACGCATAAAGGTGGTTCAAACTTTCTAATTGCTAGGGCTTCCACAAACTTTCGGATACGCCCCAAACACGTTTTATAGATAGGTTTAAAAGATGTGTTAACGTCAATTTTATGTCCTGTCTCTATAATATGTTTCGCAATAGAAGAGCTAGGTCTCCTGTTCTCACCGTTAATAGGTTCTGAAGATTCCATTTGTTTCTGGAGCCATTTAGGAATATGCTCTGAAGGCAGCCCTTACTTGCAGAGATCAATGAGTCCTCCCTATGTATGTGTGTCCACACGTACATTCAAATTGGTAAATACAGTGGGATGTCACGTCACTTTTCGCATGTTCGAAGGGCTTAGATGGATATATTGGCTTTACATTCTCAATTATAATTATATTAGCTGCATAGAAAGTCTTGTTAACAGCAGCGTTCAGTCTTTGTCTAGTTATCAAGCTGCTATGATACCCCTTGTAGGGTAGCTTGATGTACACGTCTTTCTTAGGGGCGAGCTGGAGAGTGGGTCTTGGTGTTCTGACTACTTTATATCTCCTGATGAACTTGTCTGGATAATTGTTATCAACCAGAGTTTGTGTCAACATTCCTTCTTCCGCATCAAGTGTGTCTTCAGTGCATATTCGTTGGATTATACTGAAGAGGCACCTTATTAAGGCTCTTTTGTACCGAACAGGGCAGGAACTGTGGTAATTAACATACTCCCCTGTCCAAGTAGATTTTCTATAAATAGATCTTTTCATTGACCCATCAAGTCATCAACTAAGCAATATGTCTAGGAAAGATAAACAATTATCTTCCTCTTCTACGGATGTAAGTGATATGCCATTCTGAACTTCATTCATTCGATTTAAAATTGAGGCGGCAGAACATTTATTTATTGAATTGTCTCCATATACACATATATACTACCTTTGTTTTTCTTGTCGCCACCTGCATAACCCTTATTATCAATATTTTGTTATCATTATAATCATCGTTATTAACTAAGTTCAAAACATTTACCACATTATTATCATTATTTGGTCCACAAAATCACAGTCATTGGTTTAATTCGATTTTTATATATAAATCTATATAAATTAGAGTAAAGCCTGAAGAAGATCTTATTGAAAACCACAATAATGTTCGCTTATATATCTTGTTCTAATATTGTAAATGGGAATATTTAATGATATATTATTATTTTTATATTTTTCCTTCACGTTCCCAGTGGAACATACGGCCTCGAGCTAGTGGCTTGAAGTTTCTGTAGCGGTGTTTAATTTTTACAGGATGGGGTTGCTAGCCTCATGCCCAACCTTTCCTCGTCACCAGCATTATTTCTGGCTTAGCGAGGTAAAGGAATGCGTCGGCCGGCGATCGAACCCCGGACCATGTGCATGGTCGGTGAGCGTCCTAACCGCTATGCCACTGACGCACCTAATGATATATGGATAAGTTATGTTTATATATTAAATATGATGAGGAATATTTATGGTTAGACTGGTGATACTAGTGTGATGTGGTTCTCTGAGTTGCACAGTTTATTTGTGGAGCTTTCATTATCCACAGTGGTGAGAAGAGGGATGCACAATAAGTGTTTCAGTCCATCTGCAAAGTTATCCAACCTCCGACATGTATTTCCCTTGGCAAATCGCGAAATGTGATTAGCGATTTCCTATTTTTTTTGTACACAGTTAGAAGAGGTGAGATTTCACGAAAGGGTTTCCTTTGGATGCAGTGAGTATTTAGGTCACACAGTGTCTGAACTGCTTTATGCCATGAATAGTAAGTAATCAACAAAGCAAGTGTGAATGCACAAAACTATATGCTAATAAATTGATTGATTGATTGAAATGAAGAGTTGTATACGACTCGTATCAACTAGTAGTGCTTGCTAATCAGCCAGATCGTAGTGACCTGAACACTGGACTACTGATTTAAGTATAAAACTTGGACACTGTGGTCGAGTATAACTCCATTATGGATAAGATTTTATTTTGATAAATCACACAGTGTTACACAGTAATATTAACTGATGACCACCTATCGAGCACAAACTATTGCCACTCATAATCATATCAAGTCACTCACACAACTTTTTACTTGATTTTATATACATGTGTGGAATTGACCAGATATTTGAATCAAAATCAATATTGGATAATGTACATTCAGAAATAATAATATGAGTGTTATTGATCAAGAACAATCACATGGGAAATAAGATGAGTGTTTTTATAGTCATAATAAGTTACTTGTTAGAATGTTATGATGTGCTTAAATTGAAATAGAATGTTAAGATTATTTATTATCCTCTTCTGATTTGACTGGCGGTGATAATATCTTCCATACATATCTCTGGTATTTGCATTGAGTCATTTCTGTTGCATGTGTTGGGTGTAGACTCAATGAACCAGGATTCAGTAATCAACCACCTCTCTCTCCATCTACCTAGATTACTTCTTAGAATTTTAACCCTCTCCCACCCTATTGTGTGGTTTTATGCATGTAGTGCAATTGCTGAGCTTTTCTCTAAATTACTCATCTTCTCGGGGTCAACTATTCTTACCTTAGCTAAATTCTGATGTTCCGACAATCTGACTGTCCCCAATTTACTAGTTTGACCTATACAGTTGACCTCACAGTCATTGCAAGGTATTTTGTAAATTATATTATTTTGTTTAATTGAGTCAACCAACAGGGTCCTTTACCCTACAGAGCTTGTCCCTGAGTGAGTGAGTTTGTAGGTTTGAATGCCACCCTAATTCCTGCTTTATTAAGAGTCCTACGTAGGGGGGGTCTCATATGTCCCCTCTTTATATGGTATAACTGTAGATGACTTATATTCTCTCTTATTTATGTTATTATTACTAGTTTCACAATTCTTTTTCTTTCATCCTTTTTCGATCTTCCTAATGAATTTTATGGGATAGTTATTTAACTCCAACGGCTCTTCTTTCCGTTTCATTTCATAATTTAGGTCTTTTCTGGTGCTACTTAGTGCTACTGCTCGGCTTGTTAGACACTTAACTAACACTAACGGATGAAATGAATTAAAGTCTAAATATCTATGAGAATGCGTTGGTTTTCTATAAACGCTAGTGTGTAGTTTACCTTCTATTCTAACAAGTTACTTATTATGACTATAAAAACACTCATCTTATTTCCCATCTGAATGCACCTTATTTCATACTGATTTTGATTCCAATATCTAATCGATTCCACACATGTATATAAATGAAGGGAAAAAGTTGTGTGAGCGAGTGACTTGATATGATTATGAGTGGCAATACTTTGTGCCCGAAACTTGGTCATCAGTTAATATTACTGTGTAACACTGTGTGATTGATCAAAATAAAATCTTATCCATAATGGAGTTAGAATGCTGATTCCCTAGTTTAAGGTAGAACTCATCAGTGTGTTGCTCCTGGTTCGACTCAGCTAAGGGTGTCAAGTCCATCCATTCAAGTCATCCGGTTTCCAGCTACCTACTCAGGTAAGTTATTAATCCCGTAAATCAAATTCTCAATTTGCAAATTGATTAGTAGTTTTTCTCACCACTGGTTGATATGAGTGGCATACAGTTGTTACTCATCTGTGAATTGTTGGTATTAGGTCGTTGGAGGCAATCGACAGGAAGCCTTGCTTGACCTAGGTTTCGTGCTAGTTGGCACTCACCAGTCAGTTAGAAAGGCGTATCTGCGTTCCGCCTTGAGGGAACTTATGTCCCTTCTGAGATTCGAATCCGCGTCACCCAGTGCTGTAGTCACAAAGGACTACTAGACACGTCACACTAGTTACTAGTGCAAAAATCAAAAATATCCAGTACAGTCGTCCTACAGGGGGTCAATCGCGAGCCCGAATAGCTAACTCATTGGTAACATATCTGAATGCAGCATTAGATGATGCAGGCTCGAATCTCAGAAGTGACATGAGTTCCTTCAAGGTGGTTACAGATGCACCTTTCTGAATGGTGAATGCCAACTATAGCACGAAACCTAGTTCAGGCTGGGCTTCCTGTGGCCGATTGCCTCCACAGTGCACCGTGATGGCAAGCTACCTAGCGTGGTGGCCACATTGCAAACTTGACCAATAGAATTTAGTTTGCAACAAAGAAAGGACTAGACACATTACACCAGTTAATGACTAGCATCTGAACATATATCATCTCATTCAATCACTAGGATAAAGTTTCACGCATTACCATTTTTGATATCAAGCGGATCACATATTTTGATTTGAATAATTTTGGTCTCTGAAGGAGTTTAATTTGAAGTTTTAAGAGTTTGCTCAGGTGGCCAGCAAAACTTCCTGTGTCCCGTAAAATGACTCACCTTTCTAATCTAAGTGAAACCCGGAACACCACTGATGAGCGAAACGGCCATCCAGTGTTTTCAGATTACTTCAGTCTGGTTGGTTAGTCGACACTACTTCTGGTTGATGTAAGTGCTGTGTGCAACTACTCATCTCAACCAACGAGTAGTATATAGTTTTATGCATTAAAAAGTACAGCTCAGTGAACTTAGACACATCGTATACCGATGGTTCAAGCAAGCCGCAAATGATAATATTCAACAGCATTCTATGCAAAATGACTACTATTTATTTTGTATATCAATGAGTTATCTCTGCTCACCGACTCCTCTATGGTCCTATACGCAGATGACTTAAAAATTTGGAGAGAGTTGAAGGGCGACAGTGATACCTCCATGTTGCAAGTGGACCTCAAAAAATTGTCATAGTGGTCCACTTGGCAAAATGTGCAGCCGTGCGCATTGGACAAGCAAGCAACAGCTCCTACAAACTAGAGAGAACAACAACACTACAATCAGTTCAGAATCACTTGGACTTAGGTGTCATAATTAGGCAAGACTTAAAAACTACAGCACACTGTCGCGCCGTGGCTGCGCGTAGTTTCAGGTCCTTATGGGCAATTCGCAGAGCCTTTACTAGAATCAACAGAGATATATATTCACCCCCTTATATACATTTCTGGTGAGGTAAAGACTGGAAAACTGTATCCAGGCAGTCAGTCCTTGTCTAAAAGGGGACTCACACATTCTAGAAAGGGTTCAAATGAAAGCAACACGTATGGTTCTCGGCATGACTAATTTATCATACGACGAAAGACTAGAAAGTTTAAATCTCTTCTTCCTGTCATACCATAGGAAGAGAGGCGATTTAATCACAATGTTTAAAATTCTAAATAATAACTGCGGTCCTGACCTATTCTCTCTTTTCCTTCCCACCAGGTAGGGACACCTTAGAGGACAAAGCAGGAGAGTTCAAAAGCCCAGAAGAAATCATACTGCTATTGAGTACTGGTTCTCACATCGAGTTATAAACACTCTTGTAACCGACTACCAGAAGAAGTGGTGTCTGCGCAACCTCAACTGATTTATTCAAGAAGGGTTTGGACAACCACAGAAATTTACTGGAAAAGGATTACCACAGGCTCCATGCTTTCTATACTCAACCAATAAATCTGAGTCTGAATAGATGTTGAATAGCTCTATCTGGCTTTCAATGAATACCGGACTAACTAATATTCAAATAAGTACTTATAAATCCACCCTTCCCTTTTGAAAAAAATCCATATAGAAACCACTTACTCCAAGTAAGATGACAAATGTAGAACTATAGGCGAAGTACATTACATATTTTACAAAAGTGTTTGAAAATGGCTGACGACATCCTCTAGTATATTGATGAATGCTTGTTGAATTGTCTTCTGGACATTGAGGATCCAATAATTGATAGGTTCTGTTCATTTTACAGCATGGGACTGGCACTAATAAGTCTAGGAATATATATTTTGAAAAGAAAAATTATTGACAGTTAATTAATTATACATAAAGTATTGATTATTGTAGGGATTTATTTTGATTGGATGGAGGATTTCATCATGAGAAGCCGCGACCAGCTAGTTGGGTACAGCAGGTTGAACGTGAGGCAGTAACTCATCGAAGTGGTGGTCGCGCTACGTCGTGAATTGGCAGAAGTTAGAATTCATTGGCTGGCCATTGGATAGAGTCCCAGTGGCTCAATGGGCTACGAGCTAGCTCGCCTTGTAACCAGAAGGCCCTGGGTTCGAATCCCGGTGGGTGCGTACCGATGAAGAGTCCCAAACTAGGCGGGACGAAACAGCTGTGCAGTACTCCCAGGTGGTTTTCCAATGGCTGTCTAACTGATGTCAACTCATGATGAAATCCTCCATCCAATCATAATTTAATGGACGGGATAATTGTCAGACCATGCACCACGCCATGTTAACAACCACTCAGCCAGATAGCTAATCAGAAATTGAGTTGGTATTCAGCTATAATCATTAGTAAGGTGCACCTTCCACCTTGGCGAGATTTATGTAATCAAAATTGGTGATACATACTCATGTCATTCAAGTGCAACAGTCTTAGATTTTTTTTATTTATCAAGTTTTCAGCTCCTCATGGATGGTCAAGCTTCAGACTAAATTATGTACATTAGCTGAATATTGATTTGTAATTGTTCAATTTTGTCAAATTCAAACCACTAATCAATTTTTTGTTCACTCACGAAACTGTTTTTTACCTACCACTGAATGCTGCTTAAGCTCATTTAACCCGATTGGCAGGGTCTAATTAAAGTAGAACGGCCCAGGAAGGCTAGCTACCCAGTGACCTTGAACTCTTCATACTGTTCGTTGGATGAAGAGGCCTACTATTACTACTATAGTATCACTGTGAACGCTGTGCACGGATCGAGGAGCAAATTTCATCCCGATCTCCCTTTTTTTTAAGTAGTGTTTGGACAATGTGTGTGTTAGTAAATCATTAGGATTACGGTTAGGACTAGGATTAAGTTTCAGGTTGGTGCTATTTTTATTTTTATTATGCGCATTTCCCTAGTTAAATAATTGTTGATTCTTTTATTGGAACCTATACTAATTGAATTGAGGTGATTCGGGAAAGACTGGAAAACGGAATAAAAAAGAGATATGTCACAGTATGAATTCAATCTTCAGTCACCGCCGGGGAATGGTCTAACATCCATTGGTCATTTGTCGGCTGTTGGAATTGATTGATCCGTAGCTCAGTCGCAAAATAAGGCTTTCCTCAGTGATCTGCATGAACGATTCTTCAGGATCTCAGCTGCGGTATCACAATTTTAAATTCAGCGCTCTTAAAATAGCAGATTCTTTGACATCGCCTGGGTTCTTTAAGACTTTTGCTTAATTAACTTAATTATTGCTCGATAAATCTTGGAGGATATCCATTCTCTATGAGGAGTTGTTTGAGTCGCTCCAGGTTAACCTTTGGCAGATAAACTACATGAATTGATTTTGATGAATGTTTAAAATGCGGAAGGAACCATCTCAGTAACACTTGTCTAAATTTGCTCCTTATTCTACTAAAACTTAATTAGCTCGAGTGTTATTGGCCGAAGTATGTTTATTGAGTCAGACTGGCAAATTTATTAAGGTAACACATGGGATTTTGAGGAGATCTTCACCCATCATATATATATATATGTTCCAAGTTTGATTGCAAATTGATATCATTTGGGGAACTACTGGAGACGAGGGAGTGCTGGGCAGTTGTTTCGTCTTGGTTTAGGACTTTCTGGCTATATCCACTGTCCTAGACTTAAGCCCAGGATCTTATGGCTACAAGGCAAGCTCTTAGACGATTCAACATTTAGAACGCAATTCATTGGCCCCCATGAATTCCAGCTTATACCTATTCGTCATTTTAGCGCGACCACAAGTTAGTGTCATTGTTGGTGAGTATTTGTTCTCATTATTATTATTATTATTATTACTATTATTATTATTGTTTCCTTTAATTCCTAGAGGAACATAGGGCTTCAGCCGCGCTTCTCCATTGTGTTCGGTTCTCTGCTAGAGATTTCACCTGGCTCCAAGTTTGCCCACATGCTTTCATCTCCTCTTCACATGACCTCCTCCAAGTCACCCTTGCTTGCACTGACGACCAACTCGCCACTTCCCTTTCAGGTTCCACTCGAAGGCTTGTCTAGTGATGTCACTTGATGGTTTCCTCAGATTATAGCCAATCAATCTCCATTTCCTCCTGATTATTTGTTTCACAATCGGTTCCTGCTGGGTTGGTTTGCTCCCAGAGATCCCTATTGCTGATCTTTTCTGGTCATCTGATCTTGAGTATTGAGCGAAGGCAACTGTTAATGAAGGTCTGTAGTTTGTTTGAGATGCTCTTTATGACGCGCCAAGTCTCTGATCAGTATAGTAGCACTGATTGACTTCACTTTGGAGTTGAAAATCCGGATCTTATTTTCCATGCTGATTAGTGCTGTTGACCTCCACATAGACTTGAGAGTAATGAAAGCTTGCCTTGGTTTCCCGATTCTCGCAATTGAATATCCTCGTCAGTTCCGCCGCCTGTAGTTGAAACGATGCTTCCGAGGTAGGTAAAGGAGGTAGTTTCTTTCAGGTTCCTCCCATTTATGCTGGCTGATTGTTGTCTGTTGTTGTTGTTGCTGTTGGTGGTGTTGCCCAGGATTGTTCACAACCTCTGTCTTCTCTTTGTTCACTTGAACTCCTATCTTCTCTGGATGCTTCTTCTGCCAACTTGTTGCTTTTCGCTTGCATATCTTCCGGTTTGTGAGAAATCAGACACATATCATCGGCGAAGTCCAGATCCTCCAAGTTTTTTGTGTGAGTCCATTTTATGCCTGTTTCCTCGTTGCCCACTGTCTGTCGCATTATCCAATCTACTGCAATCAGGAAAATCATTGGCGATAGTAGGCAGTCTTGTCTTACTCCTGTCCTCACTTCGAAGGATTCCGTAAGTTTCGTGTTGTGGATTACTTGGCATGCAGCATTGTCGTACAACTGTTGGATGAGACGTATAATTGTCGGTGGCACCCTGTAGTAGCGAAGTAGCTGTCAAAGCACCTCTCGATCGACGCTATCGAAGGCCTTTTCAAAGTCGATGAAGTTGAGATAGAGGGGTGACTGCCATTCCAAGCTTTGTCCAATGATTATCCGTATTGTGGCGATCTGATCAATACATGACTTGTTTCTCCTGAATCCAGCCTGTTCCGGTCGAAGTTTTCATCCAGGGCATGTTTGATTCTAACGTTCTCACGTTCGACTGATATTAATCCGTGATCAGATTTGAAAGAACTTCAATCCCTACAGATTAACTCTTGAAAAAATATATATATTTGCGTTGGTGGCAAAGCGGTACAATGCTCGCCGACCACGCCACATGTGGTCAGGGATTCGATCCCCAGGCACTGACGCACTTCTTCACCTCGCCAAGCCAGTAATAAGACTGGTAAAGAAGGAAGGTTTGGCATGAGGCTAGCAGCTCCATCTCGTTATGGTAAACCCCACTGCTAACGAAACTTCAAACTGACTCTAGCTTGAAGCCCTCCCTGTGTTCCACCACTGGGAACGTAAACGAATAAAAATTTATATATTTGAAAATTGTGAGCTACTGCAGTTGCTTTACAAGTGTTATCTGGTTGGTTGTGGATAGCAGCCTAATTCATTTGTGAGTCGTCAGTTGGATATCACTGCATCCCAAATGGGCCAAGTTAAACTTTAGACACCAATAACTACCAATCAGCGAACGACGTCGAATTATCCAATGGGATTCACGAACGTAGTTCAATGTTGTATAGCGCTTGACTCATTTCAATGCGTGCCCTTACAATGTTACGTTTGCAGTTCGAGGAGGACAGTATCTTTCAGTATTTCCTGGACTTAGGCTTGCTTGGAAAGGAGAGAAGTTGTTTGTGTGGTGGTGTAATGACTCTAAAAAGCTATACTAGGTCAACTGATGGCTTTGTACATCGTTGTGGAATTTGCTGGAAGCGAATTAGTATTAGAGAGGGTAATATTTCTTAGGAACTGTTTTTGCTAGGTCGCATCTCTCTCTAACCCAGATTTGGTACATTTGCAATTACTGGGTACTGAAACAGCCCGTGAGAGCCTCTGCTGCCGAGACGGAGAACAGCCTTGTCTCAACAGTTCACTGGCACCAGCACTGCAGAGACTCGCCCCATGGAGAATGGACAGAATTACTTCGTTGTGAGGCGGGGACGATGTAGTAGTCCATGTGGATGAGACAATGTTGGTGAAGAAGAAATACAACCGCGGTCGTCAGAGAGCGAACAATATTTGGGTCATAGGCTCATACGACACGTCCCTCCGAAAAGTATTTGTTGAAAGAATAGCAGAAAGGATGGCGACTACTCTGGTACCTATTATAAAGCGACTTGTGAGACCGGGATCAATTGTACATACCGACGATTGGAAAGGCTATGATTCGTTGTCATCTCTGGGATACATGCATCACAGAGTGAAATACTCCAGTGATTTCGGGGATTCACTTACAATACCTCATAAAAATTTCACTGAAGGATTTTGGGGTCGACTGAAAAATAGAATAAGGGCTATAAATGGATCCCAAAAGGATCTCATTTATAGTCATTTAGATGAATATATGTAGAGAATGTGGTGCGACTTCTCTGTTGACAGTCCCATGCTGAATTGGGAAATGTTTCTCTCCCATGTTCGGGAGAGATACCCATTGTAGCCATTTTATCATTTTCTTATGCATTTTTCTATAAATATACGTTTCCGCTTATAATAAACGCCTCTTTCATGTGGTTGGTCCGTTCAAGGTCGTTTGCTGATTGGTTGTTACTGGTGTCGAAAGTTTAACTTTGCCCCCAAATGAATTATGATGTTCACACAGGGACCCATACTCAGAGTCCGCTCTTTCAAACGTTGAAATGCTGACCATCAAGCCACCTCTTTTGCAACAGGTAGCAGTCACTAACTGTTCATTTATTTTTTATTCCTTGACGATCCCGGTGGATCACTGGGCTTCAAGCTGGGAGCTTTGAAGTTTCCTTTTCTCTTTGCCCGTCTTATTACTTACTGGCTTAATAAGGTCTAGGAGTGCGTCGTCCAGGGATCAAACCTAGAGCCACATGAAGCGTGGTTAGAAAGCAGTCTACCACTGTGCCAGCTACGTATTAACCGTTTTGGGTTTCCCTATATTAAGGCGTTGATTACATTTTTTTTATTGATTCGAAGTGTCCAGTTCCTTTTGACATGCCAGATGCAAGTGAGAACTCTTCAAAATTTGTTTGAATGCTATCACGATGTTTTGCTGAATGTTCACAAGTGGTTTAGCAATCCTCTTTAATCGCTTTTATGATGTGGTCAGTTTTATTAGTAGTTAAATGCTATAATTAACTGTATGAATAGAAGACCTTCGACTTTATAATCGTCATTCCTCTTGCGTATCAGATGGTAGATGGGATATTATTTTACGATGCATTGGTTGATTCTAGACTGACTGACTGACTTGAATGTCAATCTACTTTACTCTCTTGGTCTCCTCTTGTTCATCATCTAATTCTGGTTATGTACAGTTAGCGCACCCATTTTTAAACAAAAGAAAGTGGACTGTGGATAACGCTTTGTCGTTTGAAACTATGGGCAATGGGTTCGAGCCTTGGTGGTGGGATCATCATCATCACTCACTGAGAAATGCAGACACATCCAGATGACGAGTCCCAAATAGGACGAAACGAGCGTTCAACTGCTGAATTCAACTGCTTGCTAGTCACCATCCACCAATTCGAAATATAAAGCGGACTGTATTAATCAACAAAATGGGGTGGTGCGGGTGGGTGGAGGCTGGTGAACTTACCTTCATATTTAACGCCGTCATAAACGTCTTCAACACCAAAATGTGCTGAATCATAAAAGTCATATCCATCTCTGAATCCACAGCATTGTAGCTAAAAATGTTTAAAAAAATAGGAATTAAATACAGGTTATGTTGAATTGGCTTTTAAAATTAGCTTCTAAATTCTGAACTGACATCACTCAGAAAGGTGTTATAAAACAACAAAAAAAGTATTGAAGAACCGTATTAGTTTGTTTATTAGATATGTGGTGAGAGTAAGCTGCTAGCCAATTGGTAGACATTGATCTACGCTGATTGGTGGAAATTAATCTAGGCTGATTTAACAACCGATCACAGCTGACCTAGACGTGGACAAATATGATTCGCAGACAAGTGGCTCGCATTTCCGAGAAATATCGAAAACGAGAAAGCAGAAGACTCCGTTTTGTTTGCAGTCAACCAATCAGAAGACCGCCTTCTTTCTGCGGGCAGAGCCTTATTAATGTACGTAAAATATATATAAATACCTGTTGGTTTCGTAATAAAACTGATCTGTTGCCTGGCTCTTGTCTTCTGTTGTTACATTTGGTGTCGCTGCCTACCGACAAATGGAAAGCCTATGCCCTGCAGTTTTTGATGGAGACATATGGATCTTCGCGCAGGACTTCGAGGCTTCTTCGCAGTTGAGTGGCGTTCAAGATCTGTCAGCGACGAGGCTGCTACTTGGGACGCTGCTGGGAGATCGGGAGAAGGCAGCATATGGAAGTGTGAGGCGAAATACCTATGAATGTGCGACAGGGTCAGGCAAACAGTTTCCAAAGTGGGAAGGACCATATATGGTCACGTTGAGATGGGGTTACGCAGACACAATCGCAATGGCAAACACCGTTAAACAAGTGGACATCCGCAAGCGCCGAGATTCCAGACAGCAAGACAACAGAGAAAAGCCCCAAGAACCGAGAAGACCGAGCCGAATTCAGTCCAAGCTATTTGACGGGGGGACGAGTGTGGTGAGAACAAGCTGCTAGCCAATTGGTAGACATTGATCTACGCTGATTGGTGGAAATTAATCTAGGCTGATTTAACAACCGATCACAGCTGACCTAGACGTGGACAAATATGATTCGCAGACAAGTGGCTCGCATTTCCGAGAAATATCGAAAACGAGAAAGCAGAAGACTCCGTTTTGTTTGCAATCAACCAATCAGAAGACCGCCTTCTTTCTGCGGGCAGAGCCTTATTAATGTACGTAAAATACATATAAATACCTGTTGGTTTTCGTAATAAAACTGATCTGTTGCCTGGCCCTTGTCTTCTGTTGTTACAGATATATCACACAGTCAGTGAAACAGTATTATTATTTACTGGATGATGAAGTTTCGAACACAATTTGTTGCTGTTCATAATCATATCATTAATTATAATCACACGACTTCGAAACTTGAAATTTATAGTTTTCTTTGTCCTCTCCTATTTGTCGTCGTAGGCGTGTTAGTAGAATTTTCCAGATATATGGGTGGACAGGTGTTGAATCATTCCTGTTACATGTATTTGCAGTTGATTCGATAAATAAAAGCTTCCGTTATCAATCTCTCCCACCATTCATCCTGTGACATTAGATTTTAAAACTGTCATCCTATCCCATCCTTTTGAGTGGTTGTGTGTGATTACGAGTAGTGCGTGCTATAGCTGAACTATTCTCTAGATTTCTTATCTTAATCGGTTCAACCAATGTAGATTTTGCTGCTAGGTTTTTATGCTCGGCTAGTCTGACTGACTGCCCCTGTTCTACTACTTTGACCTCTGAATTTGACCTGACAATCATTTCAGGCAGCGTACTACGCAGAATTCTGCGTAAGGCAGGAATAAAAGTGCCTGGCATTCAAACACCCCACAAATTCAATTAGAGACAAGCTTTGTTAGTTAAAGGATCTTATAGAGCCTTTAAAACAAAACAATTTAGTTTATGCGATACCCTGTCTGTAATGATTGTCAGGTCAAATTCAGAGGTCAAACTAGTAGAACAGGGGCAGTCAGTCAGACTAGCCGAGCATAAAAACCAGCAGCAAAATCTACATTGGTTGACCCGATTAAGATAAGAAATCTAGAGAATAGTTCAGCTATAGCACGCACAACTTGTAATCACACACAACCACACAAAAGGATGGGATAGGATGACAGCTCTAAAACCTAATGTCACAGGGTGAATAGAGGGAGAGATTGATAACAGAAGGTTTTATTTATCGAATCAACCGCAAATACATGTAACAGGAATGATTCAACACCTGTCCACCCAGATATCTGGAAAATTCTATTAACACGCCTATGACGACAAATAGGAGAGAACAAAGAAAACTATTATACTCAAGTTTCGAAGTCGTGTGATAATAATTGATGATATGATTATGAACAGCAACAAATTGTGTTCGAAACTTTGTCATCCAGTAAATAATAATACTGTTTCACTGACTGTGTGATAGATACATCTAATAAACAAACTAATACGGAATTACTTAATATCACAGTGTCCAAGCTTTTACGCATACATTATTGGACAACCGGTCTGCTCATTTTATAGAATTCTTCTTCTGGTTCCAACCAACAAACTATTGTCCAACAAAAATATACTGAAGGGAATGACGATGGAATGGACACATGCAATAGGCTGTCGAGGTGGACTCGGACTGAGAAACACTGAGTTGGGCGTAGGTCTGAGGATGACATGGAGAAGGTTGTATAAGGGGGGGGGTCCGGAAGGAAATGAAAGCCTATAAGCGAGCCAGCTAAAAACGACTATCGAGGAAAGAGTGGAATGGAGATTCGATGTTGAAACCCTATGTACCATTTGGAACCTTAGGGAATAATAATATTCTAACCCCTTGGTTATTAAGCTAATATAGAGATATATGGTCACCATCATGTGTCATCAGCAAGCCACGATATATACATATTTGTTGAGTGATTGTCTCTTGGTTGCTTTGGGAGTGGCAAATTTGGCAGTTGTTGATAAAAGTCTGTAATTTCTTTGGAAATCTTTTTCGTCACATGCCTAGTTTCTGAGTTGACTTCAAATTTGTGTTGAATAGATTCCGAATCTTGTTCTTGATGCTGTCTAAGTGCAGAAGACTGAAAGACTGGAAAGAAATCAAGGTTGTACCTGTACAGAAATCATCTTCTGGAGCAGGTATAAAGTTTAGACCGGTCGCTATAACATCTCCTTTTTTGAAAACTATGGAGAAACTTCTTTTGAATACTCTTAAACCTTCTTTAAAAGCTTTTAGTGACCCTAAGCAGTTTGCTTATAAGTGTGGAAGAAGTACATTAGATGCAGCCATTGTACTACACCACAATATTGTTTCCTGCCTTGATAAGGGTGCTAAGTTCGTTCGAACAGCTTTTTTAGACTATACTGCAGCTTTCGACTCTGTTCCTAGGACACTTTTATTAGGAAAGATGATTTCAGCACAGACAGAGTCCTGGGCAACTAGATGGCTGTCTTCTTATTTTAAGGATAGGAAACAGCATACTGTTTTGGCTGGAAAGCGCTCCACTTCTCAGCTAACTGAAAGTGGTGTGCCTCAAGGAGCAGTACTTTCTCCATTTCTTTTTTCTTTCTTTTTGCATGACCTTCCGAACTCACCCAACGTTAACTTCATTAAGTATGCTGATGATCTGACCGTTTCTGTCCATGTAGTTTCCACATTGGATTGTTCCCATATGAATGGCTTCTTAGCTGAAGTTAAGGATTGGTCTAGCTCAAATGGTCTTAAACTAAATCCAACTAAATGTAATACAGTTGATTTCAGCTTGAGAAGTGAAAGAGACATGCATGGATTGATCCAATCTCATGATTGTTGTAATATTGATGGTACCATGATAGAGAGTAAGTCAAGTGTTTCTTATCTTGGCATTAGTTTCTCTTCAAACCTTTGCTGGTCGTCTCATATTCTTATAGTTTCTACGAAAGTTTTCCGTCTGACTTATTACATAAAGAAGTTGAGGCACTCAGGTATAACCCAATCTCTTCTCATACAATTTATTAATTCATGTGTTCTGCCCATTATTCTTTATTGTTCTCCATTATTCTTCCCTGGGCCACTCAAAAAAGACCATATAATACTACGAAGAACATTGAGGGCTGTGCTATCCCTTTGACTCAACTAACCGACACTGTTGTCAATAGGCATATGAATTCTTGTAAACACCCAGCTTAAGTTATCTTGTCTGATAGTGAACATCCTCTTCATTCACAATTGTTTCCTTGTATCTCTTCGGGTAAGACCAGAAGAAATTTCATAAACATTTATGCTCGTACTACAAAATATAAAAATTCGACCGTACCATATTTGGCACGAGTATTGTGTGAAGAGACGAATATCAGAAAAGAACTTTTACAACTTTTAAATCATTAACTAAACTATAAAATGTAATGATGCATATTATTGCATGTGTGATTTGTTATATTATTTATTTATTATTCACTATGACCTAGAAATGGTTATTTTGTTGGGGTTTTTTATTTTTCCTATTAACTATCAATATTTTTAAAATTTTATACATTTATATAATTATAAAAAGAGCTAAACCAATGCAAAATGTAAAATGAAACGCTGAAAATTCCATGCTGTAAATTGTTATTGTTGTGGAATAAAGTGATTATTATTATTATTATTATATAATACTAGACGTTATGCACTGAAGTTCTAAACTGTTATCTATTTATTAAGTTACAATTTAATGGTGACTTATCAAGTGAGATTTTATTCCAGAGACTTTCCCGGAGCATTCGAAGAACGTTTCATGCAGCATACCAATGATTGTCATTCTCTAGCCGACCAATGATTGGGACGCAAATGAAGGATAAGCTAGATAGTTTTGCCACATCTCTGCGCATTTATCAATTCAACTGCTTTCCTGAGGTGACAGTTATGTTGGGCGTACTACTACTAGACAGCTTAGCCAACGAATGTGTTACTGAGCATCTTCCATCGTGGTGTTTTGACAAAGGACAGACAGACAAAAACAATCCATAGCTCAGTTTTGTCACATTTAGTTTGATAGTGGTCAAGTAGGGGAGAAAACGAGAGCTTTCAAAGTAATTCATTATATCCCACCGAATCTTCGTATTCGTCTACTGCACGCACACAGCTGAGGCGATAGGCACTCGAACTATATTAAACCTAAACTATGCATTCAAAAAAGGTTTGTACAGTCATTATCCCTCCCTTGTTGGCCAGTTAAGACTTAACCAACTAATCACGTCTACACCACCCGTTGTTTATATTTTCAACCCCTTTCTTATCATCCCTTAATCTTATCACAACTTCATTAGAAACGTGTTTCATTTACTTCCCTTACAATCTAACATTACTTAAGCGGTTCATCTGTTTTTACTAGCCTTTATCGACTACGTCCACCTGAACACATTTGTTTGTTTAATCATACTGTTTTTTCATTATTCGTGTTATCACAGATTGCTTCACTTTTTCATCCTTATTAATGATAAAACAATTTTATTATTACTATTATAACTAATATTAGCATTACTACTATTATGACTAATTGCACAATTTATATTCACCGTCGTATTATCCTATAGACAAAACACCATGATTGCTTTGTATTTAAATTTTATTTGTAAAGTTATGTATATTAGAGTTAAGCCTGATGAGATCTAATTGAAAACACAATATTGTTCGCTTAAATGTGTTGTTCTAAGCAAAATAAAAGACAAACTATTGATCATCTTTGTCTCATACAGATAAATTACCAGTGTTCAATAACAGACATTTTCCGCTTCAACAAGACACTAAAGTGTTTTTCTCTAAGCGAAGAAATAATCCGGAATTTCACTCTGAATGGTCAGAAGAAGTAGTATTATTATCATGACAGATGTGACTCCACGAGAGGTCGAACCCAAGGTCTTCAGATCAACAGCACAGGTCGTCAACCACTCAGCTACTGTGTGGCGGAACTCAACGACCCATAACGGTATATCGTCAAGTGATAAAATTCAAACTCTTGGATCGATCCTTGAGTGTTATTGGTCTAGTGACTGAACGGTCAAAAGGCTTACCTCGTCAACTTAAGGTCCTTGGATTATTCTTTTTAAAGGGAAATGGCCACGTGGCGCTGAAGATTCCGAAGCCAGGAGGAAACAGTTATCCAGTGCTGACATTGGAAAACAGGGAGTACCCAGCGGGTGTTTTGGCCTAGTTTTAGACTCTTCATCATCAGGCACTCATGGCAACACAGGGGAATGAATCCAAGATCTACTGGTTATGAGGTAAAGCTTGTCGACCATTAAGACAGTAGGACCCAATGCTGAATGTTCTACGAGCTTGGCTTGTAACTGAGAGAGAGTTCCAAATCAGGGCGAAGTTAAACTTTGAGCATCACTAACTAACTACCAATCGGTGAGTGACTTTAAACGAAACGATCACATGAAAGAGGGATTTTTGGTTATGAAAAAAGCATAAAAGGTGCATGAAACTGTTACACGGGGTATTTTTCTCCCTAAAATGTGATAGAAACATCTCCCAGTTGAGCATAAGAGTGTCAATAGAAAAGTTACATCACATTCTGTACATATATTCATACAAATGACTTTAAATGACATCCTTTTGAGGTTCATTTATAGCCTTAATCCTTTTTTTAATCTTCCCCATAATCCTTCTGTGGAATTCTTGTGTGCCACTGTAATGGGTTCCACAAAATTACTAGAATGGTTCATTCTGTGATGAATATATCCAAGAGATGACAGTTAGTTATAGCCTCTCCATTCTTCGGTATGTACTATAGATCCCAGTCTCGCTAGTTGAGTGACAATAGGTACTAAGGTAGTAGACTTTCTGCCTGCTATTCTCTCTACGAATCATTTCTGTAGGGAGGTGTCATAAAAACCGATCACCCGAAAATTGTTGGCTCGCTGACGACCACGGTTGTATTTTTCTTCAATAAGATATTTTCGTCCACACGTGATACCTTCTCCTCTTAACAACGAAGTAATTCTTTCCATTTTCCATGAGGCGATGTCCCTGCTGTGCTGGAATCACCGAACTGTTGCCACGAGGCTCTTTTCAGTTTCAGCAGTTGCACCTCTCATAGGCTGTTTCTAAACCCAGTAATTACTCGGATTAATGAGACATGGGACCTAGAAAAAAAGTTCCTACGAAATATTAAAATAATCAGCTTACCTTCCCTAACACTCACTCGTCTCAGGCAAATTGTACAACGATGGACACATCCATCAATCGACCTGCTGAAGCTTATCAAAACTCATGACACCTTCACATGAACAGATCCTCTCCTTCCTAAGTAACCCCACATCCAGGCAATATATCGCGAAACCTCATCCTTATTGAACTGTAACCGTAACTTCGTTGGAGCAGGCATTTGACATAAAATCAAGCCGAATACAACCTTCAACTCACATGCAAAAACCTCATTGGACCATTCGAGGTCATTCGCTGATTGGTAGTTAATGGTGCTTAAATCAAACTCTCTACAGAACCTGAAGTTCAAATATTATCTAATCAAGTTAGATGCATACTTTCACTCACACAGCTCCACCATATTAGCTGGACTCAGCGAAGCAGCAATTTCACTAGTGAACGTTTCAATGTTCATACCGACAAGTCTAAATCAGGAATACAAAAGCGTTTGTAAGCTGACACCGCTATCTGTGTGTGTGTATGTGTGTGTTTCTATTAAATCCTGGTTAAGGACACTGAACAAAATTTTGAGCATGAAACTTACTTGCATCATAATGTATCCAAGGAGTAAACTGCCCGGTCTCATACTAGATAAAGACACATAGGCATTAACCAACTTTTCCAAATCTCTTTCCGCATATTTAACGATCTGTTTTTACATATTGTAGAATAAATAATAGAAACAAAGGCGAACAATAACAGCAATAAAATAAATAGACTACTTTAAAAAAAAATTTGTTAAGTAGACCTAATTTTACTAAAAATACTGCATTTATCTTCACAATGTAGTGCTGTTTGTATTGCCCACCCCTCTACTCATGACCTTGAAATCCCATTGGTTGTTGACTGTTTTAACTTATCAGTGTAATTAATGCCTCTCAAGGGCATTCAAAACATATATATATATGCGACTGCTGCCAACCATTCTTCTCTACTATCTTTAAAGGTTTTTAACCATCTGTGAAGCGACATTTACAGAGTTGATGCAGTTTGTGTCAGTTTGTGTGAATATATATACATATATGGCTAGCCATAAACAGCCGATGAACAGAAAGTACAACAACATATTCTCCACAAAGCAGTTGCCTCATATTGTAATTGTTGTGAAACCCTTACGTGTTGTACGTGCAGGAAGCTAAACAGACTAGAAATGTCCTATATTCTTACGGCTCTTAGTCGACGAAAAGTGGTTTCAGGCAAAAGAAACAGCTGTTTGTTCTTCATGTCTTAAAATAAGGCCCAGAGTTCTGGGATGCCAAATAGGTGTAAGGTTTTACAAACCTGCACAAACCATTATTTCATAAATCTAGGCAAGTCTAAAATGCAGTATTTAAGCAACCAAAATGAAAAATTAGAAAGAAAAGAGAACACGAAGTTCATCAAAGATATCTGCCATCTTTTCGGCGATTTCATTTTCAAAAACAGCTGTACAATCGCGTTTAAATACAAAATTTTACATGTGGTTACAATTCTTGTTTGATTCCACATAATTACGGCGGCGAATAAAAGGTGACTATTATTTTCAACTAGATATGGTTTACGAGAGGCTTAGAAACAAAATTACACAGGATTAGAACGGATAACGAGTGTGTAAAAATGAGCATGGAAACAAAATTGAAATAATAATTTTCAACTTGAGATGGGAGTTAGGAGGTGTGAATATAGATTACAAGAGCCTTAGAAACATAAAAATTGCAGTAGACTGGATAATGCGACAAACAGTGGGCAACGAGGAAACAGGCATAAAATGGACTCACGCAAAAAACTTGGAGGATCTGGACTTCGCTGACGATGACATATGTATGATTTCCCACAAACTGGAAGACATGCAAGCGAAAAGCAACAAATTGGCAGAAGAAGCATCCAGAGAAGATAGGAGTTCAAGTGAACAAAGAGAAGACAGAGGTTGTGAAGAATCCTGGGCAACACCAACAGCAACAACAACAGACAACAATCAGCCAGCATAAATGGGAGAAATCTGAAAGAAACAACCTCCTTTACCTACCTCGGAAACATCGTCTCAACTACAGGCGGCGGAACCGAGGAGGATATCAAAGCAAGGATCGGGATAGCAAGACAAGCTTTCATTACTCTCAAGTCTGTGTGGAGATCAACAGCATTCAGCATCAAAAATAAGATCCGGATTTTCAACTCCAATGTGAAGTCAGTCAGTGCTACTATACGGATCAGAGACTTGCACTGCGCGTGATAAAGAGCATCTCAAACAAACTACAGACCTTCATTGACAGCTGGCTTCGCTCAATACTACTCAAGATGAGATGGCCGGCCAGAAAAGATCAGCAACAGGGATCTCTGGGAGCAAACCAACCCAGCAGGAACCGATTGTGCAACAAATAAGCAGGAAGAAATGGAGGTGGATTGGCCATACTCTGAGGAAACCATCAAGTGACATCACTAGACAAGCCCTCGACGGGAACCCGAAAGGGAAGTGGCGAGTTGGTCGTCAGTGCGAGGGTGACTTGGAGGAGATCATGAGAAGGGGAGATGGAAGCATGTGGGCAGGCTTGCAGCCAGATGAAAACGTTGGCAGAGAATCGAACGCAACGGAGACGCACGGCTGAAGCCCTATGTTCCTGTAGGAATTAAAGGATACAATAATAATAAGATATACTTATAAAGTAGTTATTTTAAACGAATTATGAATGTGAACAGGAAAAGCATGGAAACAAACTTAAAATAACTGTTTTTAGAACTGGAAAAATGGGGTGAATCGGATGGAGACTGAGGGAGTAATAATCACACACACACACACAGCGAACGAAAAAGGATCAAAAAGAAAAAAGAGAACGAAAGAAGAAAAAAAGGAAGCTTAGGGAACATAGACATTGGACTAATTTCTTTTGAACACACAGCTCTGGTTTCTTGATGCATATTGCTACGGTTTCTGCAGTAAAGAGAAGTTGGAAACATACTGCTTTTGGTAGGTTTCTGTTGACTTTGTAAATTACTTTGAAAGAATCAGTTGAGATGTTGTGGGAGGTGTTAATCAGATTTTCAATAATGGCACTTCTGACTGAACCGGTGCCTCCTCTTTGCAGCCACGCTGCGTAATGTTCTCTAACACGTTTTGAAAGGACGCGCATACAACGACATATGTAACTAACTCCAAACGAGCAGGTGAATTGGTATATGCACATTGAATTGGTCATATGTGAGAGTTTGTCCTTCACTTTGTTTGTTTCCATGCTTTTCCTGTTCACTTTCATAATTCGTTTAAAATAACTGCTTTATAATTATGTCTTAATCCTGTGCAATTTTTGTGTTTCTAAGGCTCTTGTAATCTATATTCGCACCTCCTAAGTCCCATGTCAAGCTGGAAATTACTATTTCAATTTTGTTTCCATGCTCATTTTTACACACTCGTTATCCGTTCTAATCCTGTGTAATTTTGTTTCTAAGCCTCTCGTAAACCATATCTAGTTGAAAATAATAGTCACCTTTTATTCGCCGCCGTAATTATGTGGAATCAAACAAGAATTGTAACCACATGTAAAATTTTGTATTTAAACGCGATTGTACAGCTGTTTTTGAAAATGAAATCGCCGAAAAGATGGCAGATATCTTTGATGAACTTCCTGTTCTCTCCTTTCTAATGTCCACACGGATGTTTTCCACGATCTGAAAAAGAAAAATAGTTGTGAATATACAGAGTTGTTTAAAGAAACTTTGTGTTTGACTTCAATGAGAATTCCTTTGTAGAAAATGGTTCGGATATAACCTGGATAAAAGCGGTTGATAATTTTAAAAAGCGGGATTGTATAGTATTATTAATGCTTCACTAGTTGTGTGGAATAAAAGGCCTCAGCGGGGGTGGGGGATATCCTATTCCATTTGTTCCTCAAACACAACCTAAACCTGACTCCCACAAGTTTCATTTCCTCCTCATGGACATTGAGATAATCAGTAATGTCAATTGCTTCATAAAATATTTGGGAAAAGGAACTTTTAGCTTTTGCGTGTACATGAATCCTCACCGGTGAAATCAAATTGATGTATTACAAATTATACAGTGTGACGTAAGAATGCCGTCCAGTTTCTTTCAGAAAAGAAACATTTTCGGATCACAGCATGAGATCTTCTTAACACCGGAAATGCTAATCAAGAAGTTCCATTGTGGGTAAAATTTAGCTCGATAAAGTCTCACAGTGTTATGCAGTAATATTTACTGATGACAAATTGTCGAGCACAATTTATCACTAATGCTCATAATCATATCAAGGCATTACTCACTCACACAACTATCTAACTTTGTTTATATAATTCCATAATTCTCCATCGCTTGACTTGATTGATATTGTGGTGAGAGCTGTCTACTAGCCAAATTGGTAGACAGTAATTTACGTCAATATTTACGTTCCCAAGATCTGTCGTAAGAAAATGTGAACAAAGATTGATTCAAAACCGACCACAGCAGACTTTGCGTAGGCGGATGCAGTTAACATATAGAGGATGTGACATTCAAGAAAGTCACAAATAGATGAAAGATTAACTTTACGTGAGAAACAACCAATCGGAAGACTGTGTTTGTTTGTTTAAATATCCATAGTAATGTACATGAAAACATATATAAATATGCGTTGATTTCCTTAATAAATGATCTGTTGCCTGACTCTTGCCTTCTGTCGTTACAATAGTAGTATTTTCCATATTTCCGGCATGAATGATGAGTCATTCCCATTGCACGTGTGGTGTTGGCTGTAGACTCGATGAACCAGGATTCAGCAATCAACCACTTCTCTCTCTTCCTCCACCTACCTATATCACACTTTAGAATTTTGACTCTGTCCCACATACCCCATTGAATGTGTGGTTGTGTGTTAGTGCATGCAGTGCAGTTGCTTCGCTCTTTTCTAAATTACTTATCTTCGCGAGTGTGGTCAATCATTCTTACCTTGGCTAAATTCTTATATTCTCATAATCTGATTACACCCGATCTACCAGTTTGACTGACCTATGTAGTCGACTTAACTCACAGTCATTTTAAGGTATTTTGTAAATTATATTATTTTGTTTAATTGGGTCCACTGGGTCTTTTAGCCTACAGAACTTTTCTCTGAGTGAGTGAGTTTGTAGGTTTGAATGTCACCCTAATTCCTAGTTTATTTAGAATCCCATGTAGGATTTCTAATGTCCCCTTCTTATATGGTAAAACCACTGTAGATGCCTTATATTCTCCCTTATTTATGTTATCATTATTGGTTTCACCATTATTTTTATTTTGCTTTTGACGTTTTTTGATATTCCTAGTGGATTTTACAGGATAGTTATTTAACACCAACGCTTCCTTTTTCTGTTTTATTTCATCGTTTCGGTCTTTTCTTGCACTACTTAGTTCTAAGGCTCGTTTTGTTAGACACTTAACTAAGCCTGATATAAGAATAAAACTTGGGCACTGTGGTAGAGTGTAATTCCATTATGGAACTATATAAATGAATTTAGGAAGTCGTGTGATTACCTTGATATGATTATGAACAATAAATTGTGCTCGAAACGTCATCAGTAAATATTACTGTATAACACTGTGAGACTCTATCAAAATAAAAATTTACCCATAATGGAATTAACTAAGCCTGCCTTAACAGTTAGCGGATGAGACGAATTAAAGTCTAAATATCTATTGGAATAAAGAAGACAAAAATCTATAGACAAACAGAAGGTGTGGCAATGAGATCACCAATATCACCTACCTTGACAGATATCTTTATGGACAGCTGGGAAAATATGGCTCTTAATACATTTTATCCTACTCCAAAAATATGTTGGAGATGTATGTGGATGACACTTTCACATTCAGTGCTAAAATCAGAACGTATCTCTAGCTTCTTGACACATGCATAAACTCACTAGTCCTGGGAATAAAATTCACATTTGAATCAGAAAATGAACAAGGAGAATTAGCTATGGTGTTAGATTGTAAAATAAAACGAATAGAAGGAGGTGAACCGTACATTAGCGTTTATAAAAAGCCAACGCATTCTAATAGATATTTGGACTTCAATTCATCTCATCCGTTAACTGTTAAGGCAGGCTTAGTTAAGTGTCTAACAAACCGAGCAGTAGCGCTAAGTACTACAAGAAAAGACCTAAATGATGAAATGAAACAGATAGAAGAAGAGTAGCTGGTTGGTGTTAAATAACAAACTATCCTATAAAATTCATTATGTTACATCGAGACTTCCATTCAGAATGCAAGCAGTGAATGATGAAGATAATAATAATAGCCCCGGGGGATCTTAGTGACACCTCACTCAAAATAGACAAGTTATTATGCAACCGAAAATTAACATCAAAATTAATAAAAATATGTATTTTAATTCAACAACTGCCAACTACTTCGCTACTACGGGGTGCCACCGACAATTATACATCTCATCCAACAGCTGTACGACAATGCTGCATGCCAAGTAATCCACAACGGGAAGCTCACGGAATCCTTCGAAGAAGTGAAGACGAGAGTAAGGCAAGGCTGCCTACTCTCGCGAGTGATTTTCCTGATTGCAGTAAATTGGATAATGCGACAAACAGTGGGCAACGAGGAAACAGGCATAAAATGGACTGACACAAAAAACTTGGAGGATCTGGACTTCGCCAATGATATATGTCTGACTTCCCACAAACTGGAAGATATACAAGCGAAAAGCAACAAGTTGGCAGAAGAAGCATCCAGTGAAGATAGGACTTCAGGTGAACATAGAGAAAAGAGAGGTGATGAAGATTCCTGGGCAACACCACCAACAGCAGCGACAACAACAACTGACAACAATCAGCATGAATGGGAGGAACCTGAAAGAAACAACCTCTTTTGCCTACCTCGGAAGCATCGTTTCAACTACAGGCGGCGGAACTGATGAGGATATAAAAGCAAGGACTGGGAAAGCAAAGCAAGCTTTCATTACTCTCAAGTCTGTGAGGAGGTCAACAGCACTCTGCATCAAAAATAAGATCCTGATTTTCAACTCCAATGTGAAGTCAGTGCTATTACACATACGGATCAGAGACTTGGCGCGTCATGAAGAGCATCTCAAACAAACTACAGACCTTCATTAACAGTTGTCTTTGCTCAATACTCAAGATGAGATGGCTGGCCAGAAAAGATCAGCGACAGGGATCTCTGGGAACGAACCAACCAGAAACTGTTTGTAAAACAAATATGCAGGGAGAAGTGGAGATGGATTGGCCATACTCTGAGTAAACCATCAAGTGACATCACTAGACTAGCCCTCGAGTGGAACCTGAAAGGGAAGCGGCGAGTTGGTCGTCAGTGCGAGGGTGACATGGAGGAGGTCATGTGAAGAGGAGATGAAAACGTGTGGGCAGATTTGGAGCCAGGTGAAGACTCTTTCAGACAACAGAACGCAATGGAGACGCGCGGGTGAAGCCCTATGTTCCTGTAGGAATAAAAGGACACAATATTAACAATAATAATAATGATATAATTCAACAACTCACAGAACTTGAATCCTTCAAAAATGCAACCACCATAGAGAAGTGTACAATGACACAAACTGAGAAGAGCACTTCATACTGCAAAATTTAAAATAAGGACATAATATTATTTGAATTTAGTGAACTTCAGTAATAATAAAATTAATATTGGTCAATGTATTTCGTGGATAACATAGATGAGGTAAAAAAAAACATTTGAAAGGTTCACTTGTACGTAAGTTCTCTTAATTTTCTGAATTTCTTGATATGGAGCCTCCAAATTCTGATAGAATCTTCCCTTTTTAAACCAGACCACTGAGAATCATGGTACGATTTTCAAAACGTTCACCAAAATGTCAAAATATATAGAGATAACTGTGCACAGATTGAATTTGGGCACTGAAATTGCAGGGATATAACTTGATCTCACAGGAGACAGATTTCTGTCAGTTAATTTTGCTATTTATGGTCACCAAGATAGGCGAGTTGCTAGCAGAGTGAACTTTGAACTGATAATTTACTTAGTTGAAGGAGATCACGAGGAGCACCTAGACCTATGTCTCGGGTTGTTTCACGTCAGGTAAGGTGAATCTACGATTTAGAAGAAACTGATATCTTCTTAAAGATTCAAACTTCTTTCACCTATTATTGCACTTTCAGAAGTCATGAGTGAAGCGTTTGTGCTCCGAAGGAGGGGTGGTAAGGCTTAATGAGATTGAAACCTAATCCAATGACTTCCTGGTGATTCTCTTCAGCCATTTCATATTACGTAATATTATTATTGTTCCCTTGGGTTCCTAGTGAACATAGGGCTTCAACTGCACGTCTTCACTTGCTTATGTCTTCTGCTGTACTTTTCACTTGCATCCATGTTTCAGTTTCTCATCACACGATCTCCTCCATGTTACCCTTGGACGTCCCACTCGCCACTTCCCTTTCGGGTTCCACTCGAGCGATGGCCTGACGCGCGATGTCACTCAACGGCCTCCTCAGCGAGTGTCCAATCCATCTCCACTTTCTCCTGCATATTTGTTAAGCGATTGGTTCCTGTTTTGTTTGTTCCCACTAATTTTGTTGGTGATTCTTTCCGGTGGCCATCTGATCTTCAGTATAGAACGAAGACAGCTGTTGATAAAGGTCTGCAACAGGCTGTTGGAAATGTTCTTTGTGACCCGCCAAGTTTCTGATCCGTATAGAAGAACTGACTGACTTGACGTTTGTATTTAAAATCCGAATTTTGTTGTTGATGCTGAGGAGTGACGAAGATTTCCAGATTGGTTTCAGGTTGATGAATGTGTTTCTCGCCTTCCCGATTCTCGATTTGACATCCTCTTCCGTTCCTCCTGTAGTTGAGACAATGCTCCCTAAATAAGTGAAAGAAGTAACCTCTTTCAAATCCCTCCCGTTGATGGTGATTGTTGCTGGATGTTGCTGCTGCTGTTGTTGTTGTTGGTTGGTTATTTTCATAACCTCCGTCTTGTCTATGTTCACCTGGAGTCCTGTCTTTGCTGCCTGCTTCTTCGACCAGTTTGTCGGTTTTCGCTTATAAGTCTTCGATTTTGTGTGACATCAAACATAAATCATCCACGCGCGAAATCCAGGCCTTCTAGGTTCTTCACGTCGGTCCAGGATATCCCTGTCTTCTCGTTTCTCACTCTCTGACGCATAATCCAGTCCACCACAATTAGGAATATCATTGGTGATAATAAGCACCCTTGTCTGACTCCTGTGTTTACTCCAAACGCCTCGCTGAGTTTTCCGTTGTGGATCATTTGACATGTGCCGTTGTCGTACAGCTGTTGTATAAGGTTGATGAATATTAGGGGTAATCCGCAATACTCGAGTAGTATCCAAATTACTTCGCGGTCAACGCTGTCGAAGGCCTTCTAAAAGTCTATAAAGTTGAGATAGAGGTTTGATTGCCATTCCATGCTTTGTTCGATGATGATGCGTAGAGTTGCAATTTGGTCAGAACCCGACTTGCCTTTCCTGAATCCAGCTTGTTCTGGTTGGAATTCAACCGGCATACCTATTACCCCTGTGATGTTAGTCATTTACAGTAACATTCACATCCTTACTCATGAACAATGGTCGTCTTCATTGTCACTAGATTTCAGACTGTCGAAAGTGCTTAACACCAGTTTCAGATGGATAACTCATGAATAGTACAGAACTTGAAATATATCTGACTATGCGCCCACAAAATATTACCTCAGTTGTCAGCTCCTAATGTTTAGAGAAAAGTCCTAAGATTATTTAATAAAACTCAAGCATCTTAACAAAGTTTTCATTGAGTTAATCCTACAGTAGGAATAGGTCAAAAGTTTGTCAAATATTCCTAAAATCTAGCTGTCTAACCTGGTGAGATTACCAGATTCTTGGTTATATGATGGGGCCAAGTTAAACTTTAGACACCACTAACTACCAATCAGCGAACGACGTGGAATTATCTAATGAGATTCACGAACTCAGTTCAATGTTGTTTAGCGCTTGATTCATTTCATATGCGTGCCTTACAATGTTACGGTTTCAATTCGAGGAGGACAGTGTTTTCCAGTATTGTCTGGATTTAGGGTTGCGATCTTGTTCGTGTGGGGGTATCATGAGGTTAAAAAGCTATAGTAGGTCAACTGACGGATTTGTCCATCGTTGTGCTATATGCTTCAGGCGTGTTAGCATTAGAGAGGGTAATTTGATAATCTTAATATTTCGTAGGGACTTTTTTTGCAAGGTCACACCTCTTGTTGACGCAAATTTTATATATCTGCAACTACTGGGTATTGAAACAGCGTGTGAGAGCTGCAGCTGCCAAGACGGAGAACAGCCTCGTCTCAACAGTCCAATGGTACCAGCAATGTAGAGATATAGCATCTTGGAAAATGGAGAAGATTACTTCGTTGTTGGGCGGGGACGGCGTCGTAGTGCACGTGGATGAGACTGTGTTGCTGAAGAAGAAATACAACCGTGGTCGCCAGCGAGCGAATAATATCTGGGTCATAAGTTTATACGATACTTCCCTCTGAAAGGGATTCATTGAAGGAATAGGAGATAGAAAGGCGACAACGTTAATACGAGAGTTGTCAAACGCGGTTCAATTATACACACGGACGAGTGGAAAGGTTATAATTCGCTGTCATCCTTGGGATATAATCATCACCGAGTGAACCATTCAAACGGTTTTGTGGATGCAGTTACCGGAACTCATACAAATTCTATTAAACGATTTTGGGGCCGGTTGAAAAATCGGATAAGGGCTATAAATGGATCCCGAAAGAATCTCATTTATAGTCATTTAGATGAATATATGTGTAGAATGTGATGCGACTTTTCTATTGACAGTCCGATGCTGAATTGGGAAATGTTTCTGTCCCATGTTCGGGAAAGATACCCGTTGTAACTGTTTTATCCTAGTTTTTATGCATTTTTCTATAAAATACGTTACCACTTATCATAAACGCCTCTTTTATGTGATTGGTCCGTTCAAGGTCGTTTGCTGATTGGTTGTTACTGGTGTCGAAAGTTTAACTTTGCCGATGATAGTTTGTTGTGTAACCATGGGATTTGGAAGAACTTAAACTAGCGGTCTCTTCAAACAACACGCTCTCATTCAATTGATATATGATAACAGTGAGTTGTTATTGACATTAGAGTACAGGTTACTATATATATAACAATCTGAAAGAAGCCAGAGAAATGGAAAGCTGAGTGACAGAGTAGTAATCACATGATCTCTGTGTTCTGGATTTAATTATTCACAGGATCACAGCTAGTGAATGGCTGAAGACATCAAGGTAGAGGGATTTCCGCCATATGGTATTTTTCTAGATTTCAGTGTCATCCTACCTCATGTCTATCCTTCATGAAGACAACTTTGAAAAGGAATGAAAAAGCGAGCAAAAAGAGATAGTTCACCTCACTTCGTCAACCCCCATGAAGCCAGATTTCTTGGTTGATTTAAAACATATGGATTACGTCTGTTGATGGTATTACGGAAAACTATTGCAGAGATTTTGTAGATTATTATTATAATATTATTATTATTGTTCCCTTGGGTTCCTAGTGGAACATAGGGCTTCAACTGCATGTCTCCACTTGCTTCTGTCTTCTGCTGTACTTTTCACCTCCATCCATGTTAGTCCATACTGTTTCAACTCCTCTTCACACGATCTCCTCCATGTCACCCTTGGACGTCCCACTCGCCGCTTCCCTTTCGAGTTACACTCGAGCACTGGCCTGACGCGCGATGTCACCCAATGGCCTCCTCAGCGAGTGTCCAATCCATCTCCACTTTCTCCTGCATATTTGTTGGGCGATTGGTTCCTGTTTCGTTTTTTCCCATAGCTTCTTGTTTGCGATTCTTTCCGGCCATCTAATCTTCAGTATAGAACGAAGACAGTTGTTGATAAACGTCTGCAACCTATTGAAAATATTCTTCGTGACCCGCCAAGTTTCTGATCCGTATAGAAGAACTGACTGACTTGACGTTTGTATTTAAAATCCGAATTTTGTTGTTGATGCTGAGGAGTGACGAAGATTTCCAGATTGGTTTCAGGTTGATGAATGTGTTTCTCGCCTTCCCGATTCTCGATTTGACATCCTCTTCCGTTCCTCCTGTAGTTGAGACAATGCTCCCTAAATAAGTGAAAGAAGTAACCTCTTTCAAATCCCTCCCGTTGATGGTGATTGGCGTTGGATGTTGCTGCTGCTGTTGTTGTTGTTGGTCGGTTATTTTCATAACCTCCGTCTTGTCTATGTTCACCTGGAGTCCTGTCTTTGCTGCTTCTTCGACCAGTTTATCGGTTTTCGCTTGTAAGTTTTCGATTTTGTGTGACATCAAACATAAATCATCCACGCGCGAAATCTAGGTCTTCTAAATTCTTTACGTCGGTCCAGGATATCCCTGTCTTCTCGTTTCCCACTGTCTGAGGCAAAATCCAGTCCGCCACAATTAGGAATATCATTGGTGATAATAAGCACCCTTGTCTGACTCCTGTGTTTACTCCAAACGCTTCGCAAAGTTTTCCGTTGTGGATCACTTGACATGTGCCGTTGTCGTACGGCTGTTGAACAAGGTTTGTAGATAGAGATTTTGTAGATAATTAAGTGTATTCATAACCATGGATGAATGGTAGTCTTGTGACCTGTTTTGCTGTCTCAGGGGGGATGATTCCTTCGTAAAAGGTTTTTTGATCATTCTGAATTAGATAGTCAATGGTAACTCAACTGTTTTCTTAGTAATTTTAATTAATGTTTGTGATTTCCCGTTGATCTGTTTCACCAGTTTTGGTGTACAGACTCCTTGAAAGCATACCTCGGCATAACCGGTGGCCTAGTTCGCAAATCTTTGACATTTGAAGTTATGGTCTATAGGTTAGGGTGTCAGTAGGACTGAGTGAGTGAGTGAGTTTCAACGCAGACTTTAGCGCAGAAGTTCAAGTTACTGCACTATATATGTGGCAAGCAAAGGTAGATTCAAAGGAACTTTGTGCTTTCAGAGCTCCATTAAGACAACCTTCACCTTCATATATGTCTCAGACTAAATGTCAAAGAATTCCTGAGTTGGTCCCAGTCTATGGTATATGACCACACACAACTCTTCTACAACCTAATCTTTTTATGTCGGCTAACACTGCTCGTTGAGGCTGTCGATGGCTCGAGGTACTAAACACATTTCTTAGCCGCCTCTATCGATTCACCTTCAAATTATCATCTAACTATCTGCTAGCCAAAATTGTAGACACAAATTTACGTCAATGTTAACGTCCCGAATTGCAGTCACGAAATAAAACAAGAACAAAGCCTAACCTTGAGAAACTGGACAACCAATCACAGCAGACTTAGTGTGTGTGCAAATACAATACACAGAAATATGGATAACTTTGTAAGCAACGGTCACAAGCAGTATAGAATAAACCTTCAGCATGAAAACGACCAATCAGAAGATGTTGCTTCTCTGCTAACAATAACGAATAATAATGTGCATTAAAATCTATAAATATCTCTTGATTTTCTCAATAAACGATCTGTTGCCTTGCCCTTATATTCTGTCATTACAAGTATACACTCAAACGCAGCATTATTCATCACATTATACCATTTAACACGGGAGAAAAAAACTCAGACATCGGTGGTCATAGACAGCTACGATTTTCAATGGCTATCACTCTCCAAGATAAAGGAGGAGAAAGAGAATTGCCATGCATTACACAAGTCCTTTGATCGATAATTGGATATCATGTCTACGTCAGAGATTACATAAGTTGACATTAGATGGTTGGAGGCAATCGGCAGGAAGCCTTGGACCTAGGTTTCGTACTAGTTGACGCTCGCCATCAAGGCGTATCTGCAACCTTGAAGGAACTCATGTCCCTTCTGAGGTTTGAACCCGCGTCACCCAGTGCTGCTGTCAGAGACGTTACCACTGTGCTATTCGGGCTCGGGCTAAGTTGGAATGTCCCACACGAGCTATTTCGATCCGTGGCAATCACTCCGTCAGAGATGACGCAGCTTCTGAAACATTGTACTAGTCAACAAGCTCTATCGCTTGATCGCCTATCTTCACGCTAGGAGTGGGTGTGGTCCACTCCTGCATCATCTTCATCTAACATTTCGCAGGAGTGGATCACATGCCAAATACTCCCAGATTTCTGCATTTTATCAGCGTCTTCACCTAAGAGGACAATATCATCCTCATACTCTAAGTCGACAAGACTGCGGGCCAGGTGTATCCAGAGACGGGTCTCAAAAAGGACGAAGCCCACACCTTCCGGATTCAACTGCTAGACATCTCATTAAAAACATGGAACATCGACGTTTAATCCACACTGTTTTGATTCATTTTATATTTTGATATGAAATCTACTGTTAGAGTAAGTAATAAAATGATTGGATCATACTTACTATGAGAAAAAATGTTGCGCTTCGATTGAACGATATAAAGTATCCATATACGCATAAGCATACATAACAGGCTGATGTGACAATAGCTGGGAAGAAAATCGGATCTGAAATAGAGGTATTTAAAGTGACATGTTAGTAGTAGATTTTGTATTAGGTGTAATGTGTAAATCGTATTTACAATGTGTAGAAGAAAATTTTAAATGGCTCATCGTATTTACGGTTATTTTAAAGTTTAACTGCGAAATTCGATTAGAAAGAGTAAGCAATTGTTTTCGTTCTCCCATTGCTTACCAAGTGCAAATCAGCGCTGCTTAAAATTCACAGTAGTAGTAATAGTGCCAGGGGATCTAGCGAGACGTCGTAGATAGTGGCGTCCATCAAGCTGAGCATAAGGACAATGCTTGCTGACGGCACTGGTTGAAGATGGCGACATATGTTTCAAATTGACAGAAGCTAGAATTCAGGGTCTTTTGGGGTTTGTCTTAGGGGCTAAACTGTCAGCAAGCTCGCCTAGTGACCTAAGGGTCTTGGATTCGATCCCTGGTATGGGAAAACTAATAATGATAAAAGAGAATATATGGCATCTACAGTGGTTTCACCGTATAAGGAGAGGACATCTGAGAGATTAAGTAGGATTCTTATTAAAGCAGGAATTAGGTTGGTGGCATTCAAACCTACGAACTCATTCAGGGATAACCTCTTTAGGTTGACCCATTTAAACAAAATAATATAATTTACAAAATACCTTGCAATGACTGTGAATTAGGTCAACTACATAAGTCAAACTAGTAGATCGGGAGTAGTGAGATTATTGGAACATGAGAATTTAGCTAAGGTTAGAATGGTTGACCCCACTCGAGAAGATAAGTAATTTGGATGAAAGCTAAGCAATTGCACACACAACCACACATTCAATAGGGTTTGTGGGACAGAGTCAAAATTCTAAAATGTGATATAGGTAGGTGGATGGAGAGAGAGAGAAGTGGTTGATTACTCAATCCTGCTTCATCGAATCTACGCTTAACACAACACGTGCAATGGGAATGACTCATCATTCATACCGGAAATATGGAAAATACCACTACCAATCAAGTCAAGCGATGGAAAATAGTGATGGAATTATATAAACGAAGTTAGAGAGTTGTGTGAGTGAGTAATGCCTTGATATGATAATGAGCATTAGGGATAAATTGTGCTTGAAACGTGGTCATCAGTAAATATTACTGTATAACACTGTGAGACCTAACCAAAATACATCTTACCCACAAATGAATTATTCACTATGACAGTGCACAAGTTCTTTTTTTATGCCCTGGCAGGGTTATTCCAGCGTTCTCTTGAAAAGTCATAAACTGGGACTAAATAGCTGTCAAGCACTTCCAGGTGCTCTAAATGGTGACATTTCGCCGATTAACTTGAAAGGAATCAAATCCCTGAAAAGGAGCTGTTGGACGCTGGACTGAACATTTACTCTTTTGGTCGATAGGCACAGTAATGGCTAGTTGGTGTGTGCAGTCAAGTCCGATAAAGGATGGGGTGGAAGTTATACTTTAATTACTTTATCGACACTTATAATCTGTGTAACAATCATTTCCGATTGGAATAGCCTATTTTTAAGAGTTTCAACTTCAACCAGTGGTGAAGCATAGTGCAATTTCATGGGAAATATAATTTATGCAATGATCAGTTATAAAGTCAAAGCCCTGGTGTTTGTGGATATGTCTAAGTTACTTGGAACAGGCATGGCTGAATGACTAGGGACTTCTGAAATTTACTATTAAAGTCAGAAGTGTAGGTTGGTGTCAATGACGCTAAGCATGGCATTATAATCACAGACTGACGTCAGTTAGACGACCGTTGAAAACCAGGTAGTACTGAACAGCTTCTTTCGTCCTATGACCCCAACAGGTGCCAAACTCAAGATCTGCAGGCCCATTCACCATTCCATCTTTGATGGTGCTGAAATACATTTATCGGTCTTCTGATGTATAATTTCCAGTCAACTGAGTTGATTACTATCCAGGAACCCATTTGGCGGATATCTCTTAAACAATAGAAAGCGCTTTCTGGTTAGACACTGATTAATCTACTGGATATCCGCTTCAGTGAGTTTAACTTTATTCACTTTGAAATACCGGAAATATGAATACGAGTTCCCTTGTTCGGTAGATATATTTGTGGAGTTTGGAAACAGGCAAAAATCATCTACATATAAAGATAAGAGGGGGTTGGTTGAATCGAGACAGGTAAAAGCGACTCAAGAAAGTGAGATTTTTATTAAATACAGACTTGAAATTCTAAATTAAAGTGAGATCACACCAATATAATCTATTAGAGATAGAATGAACACTACGTTTCGTGCTACTAACAATTAAAATAAGTAGTTTGAAAGCAGTAATTTAAAAAATTAGACCTCACAGTGGCTAAAGAGTGCTGAGGTTATCTTAATAAGAAATAACCGATTTACTTAGTTGTATCAACGATGTGGCCAAACGGATTAGACCCAAAAAACTTCTATTTATACTCCTCTAGCCCTGATATGCATATTTTAATTGTGATTTTAATTTACATTACCTACAAGTTCACCCGCAGCTGCGGTGACACCTATATAGGTAGAACCAACAGAATGTTCCAATGTCGTCGGAAAGAACATGTTCCAAAATGGCTACTAAATCACATAGAAAATCCCAATGCCAGTAATCTGAATAGAAATCCAGCATCATCCATTGCAAAACACTTATTAATGTCAGGTCACAAAGTCAATATTAATTGATGACTGTTTCACAATTATTTCACATAACTCTAATTCAAGGTTAGTTGTTGAAGGTGATGGAAGCACTTTGGATTAATCACATACAGCCTAAACTGTGTGTACAAAAATCAATAGACTTCAATCTTCGCCTACCCTGGACTACTTGACCTATATAAATATGATTGGTCATTAGTATGTACTTTTCTTTTTATTTAACTGAGTAATTGTCATGAACTTTATTTTATTATTGTTAACCATGTTAGTTGTAAAGCGGTTGTACAGAAACTGCGAAATGATATCATCTCGCGAAATTTGTCTTCTTAATGCCTTATTCAAATTTACCTATATATGTCCAAGCCAAGTTCACTTTTAACAGTTTGAAAAAAATTGGGCACTGGGTAAATGATATTCATTATAATAAAGGTTTTTGTATTTACCAATGAATGAGAAATAGAAAGATATTGTTTTTACTGACGTTTCGCTATTTAATACTGCTAATAGCTTCATCCGAGCAGCATTATTAAACCGGAATTTACAAAATCTCAGCATATATATAACAAAGAGTTAAGGGGTGAGAAAATAGACTTAGGTCAAGTTAAAAGAACATATTGAAAGTCAAAATAACAATGAAGATCACTAAACCAAATAACAAAGGTAACAGTATATCTGTTATGGTATCAAAACAAAGTTCAATAACTTGATCATCGTTCGTCTGTCTGGGGTCATTTTTCGTTGTCAAGTTGATCAATTGGTAAAGATAACAAAATCAAAATCAAGTGTAGATTGTTGGATTTGATCAGTGTTTAAAATTATAAAGGCAGTATGTGTTTACATAGTGAAACTTGCTTATCATATTCGTGTTAATTTTGTAGTTTCATGGGGGAGGGAGGTGTTGTAACCACGTTAAATTCTGTTTTAGTCCGTCACTCTTATTCAGGCAATTTGGATTCCACTTGAAATGAAGTGCTTCTGATATTAGACATTCTTTGTGATTTCTGAAGTTTTTCTGGATTATTTCAATTATTGTCAAAATCAATTTTGTGGCCTGATTTTTTAGCGTGTAGACCCATGGCTGATGATTTTTCAAGCTTTCCTAGTTCAACCGGATTTCTCAGTGGTCGAACAGATGCCCTCCGGTGTTCACTTCTTCTGATTTTGATTTCTCGTGATATTTGTCCGATGTATACCGCTTCAAGTTCCAAGTATTTATTTTGTAGACACAATTAGATAGAGAATCTTTAGGGATGTGGTCTTTTATGTGGACAAGGTTGTTTCGTAGTGTGTCTGATGTTTTGAAGAAAACTCTGATGTCGAGCTCATTGAGTACTCTTCTGATAACATCTGACCTTTCTACTCTATATAAAATGGCGTCTGTTGAGGTCCATGTTTTCGAAATGCGTTTTTGGCCATACTTAATGTCTGTGTTGAATTTGTTGATGAAGTTCCTTGGGTAGTTGTTTTGCTTGAGAGTTTCAGTAATGTTTGATATTTCTTCTTCTTTTTCTTTCTCATCCGTTATCAGAGAGTGTGCTCGTCTAAGAAGACTTGAAACAACTGAAATCTTTGCGCTGATGGGTTGTGATGATTTGAAGTCTAAATATTTATTGGAGTGGGTTTTCTTCCTGAATATGGATATACCAAAATGTCCGTTTTCCCTTCTCTTAACTAGGTAGTCTAGAAATGGTAGTTCACCGACGTCTGATTCTGCTTCCGAAGTGAATTGGATTCTAGGAGATACACAGTTTATTTTCTCCAGGAATGAATTGGGTAGATCTCGTTTTAGCACTACAAACGTATCACTTACACATCTTAACCACATTTTAGGAGTGAGTATGCTTGAAAAGATGTTATTTTCGAATCTATTCATGAAAGGTCAGCGACTATTGGGGAGACAGGTGAACCCCTAGCAACACCATTTGTCTGTCTATATAAACTCCTTTTAAATGTAAAATAATTATTTTCTGCTGACCATGTCGGTTAATGTTCAGAGATGCGTTTGGAAAGTGTGTGCTTTATGATACCAAAATAACTAGCTCCCCAAGAACAGGTGAGTACTACGTATTTTACAACTTTTATTTTTGCTTTTAATGTCACTTCTGAGTAATTATATCAATTATGTCCCCCTCCCCCGTATTACTTAGGAATTAAACTACTACACGTTTTTGGTAAGTATAAATACGACTGTACAGCCTCTGCAGATGATTTCATCGATAAAGAAAATTTCTTCTCTGAATTTGTCTTTTATTTTCTTTATGACTCAATGGATATTTTCGGTATTTTTACTATTATTAACTCTAGAAAATATGCACCCGTATGCATTAAATCGATCTCCTCCAGTTTCTACATTTTTTT